CGCCAGGGCCAGCCGGCAACGGTTCAGTCCCGAGGAGACCATGGGACTGGAGTTGCTGAGTGGGTGCACTTACTTGAAAGGAGTTGGGGAGCCCTTCAAGAGGGAGGAAATGCGGCTCCCAAAACACAGACTGCAACGGCAATTGGCAGCTGCAAAGGTGGGGTCCTTCATAAGCCAGTAGGCAGATTTACAGACAAACCCAGTTGAAAGGAAGTAAGTAGAGGAGGAGGAGGAGGAAAAAGAACAGTGGAAAAGGCAAACTATTCAGGCTGGGAGTGGAAAGAAGGAGGTCCCAGGTGAGTGCACCTAGAAAGTGGTCCAACCAGTTTCAGAAAGGGAGGGACCAACAGTTGAATTAACCCTCCTGTACCCTCAAAGCTAAGAAACCTGGTTAAGCTTCCACTTGCTCACTCCCCTCCTTCAAACTTCTACCAAGGAACTCAGAAGGCCTGGTTCCTAGGACCTGAGCCCCCGTCCCTCTCCCACCCACCCCAAAATCTGCCTTCTCACACAGCTGGGAGAGTATTGGACATTCACTGTTCTTGGTTCAAATAACTTCCTTGCAGAAAGCAGGAAGTCTCTGGCTGTGTATTTTCTTTTCTAAACCCCCAGCTCCCCCACCCTCCCAGTGACCCTCTCGGAAAGCTCCGTTCTCCTCCCTTCTCAATACACTACTAAGTTGTTCATAAAAGGAATCTCGCCCACTGAAGTTTTTCAGGGGTGCTGCATGGGGATCAGGGCACACATTCACCTGCCTGTGTGGCCAGCCAAGCAAGTACGAGGAAAGAAGGTGAAAAGAATTTGAGAGGGTTCAGAGCAAGTGAAGAGCCAGATGGCTCTATCATTATTATGCTTAGTTATTTATGTTGATTTATTTATTAAGATTTCTATCCTACCTTTATTAATTTATAAGTAACTCAAGGCAGTGAAAATACATAATAGTCCTTCCTGTTCCCATTTTCCCTGAAACGACAACCCTGTGAGGTGGGTTGGGCTGAGAAAGAGAGAGACTGGCCCAAAGTCATCCAGCCAGCTTTCATGCCTAAGGTGAAACTACAACTCACAGACTTCTGGTGATTGGCCCAAAGTTATCCAACCAACTTTCAGGACTAAGGCAAGACTAGAACTCAGAGTTTCCTGATGATTGGCCTGAAGTCACTCGGTCAGTTTTCATGCCTAAGGCGGGACTTGAACTCATAGTCTCCTGGTTTTTAAGCCAGTCAGCCAGCCAGCCAGCTTTCCTGCCTAAGGTGGCACTACAACTCATGGTCTCCTTGTTTCTAAGCCAGCACCTTAATTACTACACCAAACTGGCTTTCTATAGACTCAGGACATTCCAGATGTATTGACTAAGAAAAAATTTCCCCCAAGCTCTAAAAAAGATTAACTTCTAAATAAATATGATTCAAACTGTACTGCCTATTTCTTTGGCCTTCCTTCAGTCAATGCATTTCAAAACTTGCTGTACCTATAGAGCAGGGGTAGGCAACCTTGGCTCTTTTATGACTTGTGGACTTCAACTCCCAGAATTCCTGAGCCAGCATTGTTCAGCATGGAAACCTCTCCCTTTCTCCTCAGCATGGCTAGCTCAGGAATTCTGGGAGTTGAAGTCCACGAGTCATAAAAGAGCCAAGGTTGCTTACCCTGCAATAGAGAATATTTGTAGCTCAAATATTGGGGGGTCCTTGGTGCTCTCTGAGCTTAGTTGTTTTCTTGCAATCATTACCCAAAATAAGTAACATCAGTAGGTAATGAAATGTCTGCAAAAAACCAGCCAAGGTCAGAGAGCATCAAGGACCCCTCAAAACTTGCTATTGTGGGAATTGGCCATTTCCATGGATTACATACTCTAATTCATGAGCCAAATTGTACCTTTTGTCTACTGGTAACCTGGAAATGTCTTTATCTCCCTTTACTATCACTGGCAATAGGAAAAGAGAGTCACTTTTCCAAGGTGGAAATTGTTATGTCCCGAGCCTTTGCAAACGGCTCGGGCGTTTGCAGGCAGTCCCGGGCAGGTGCAAAGCTGCCCGGGACCAGACAGGCTGTCGCCAGCGCCGTGCCCATGCGCGGGTGCTGGCGCGGGAAAAGTAACCCATTTACCCGGGAGTTGCCTATATAAGAGGCTGCGAGGCGTTTGGGCGAGGCTGAAGCCATCTTCCTGTAAGCTGAACGTTGAATAAAAGAAACTGAGAACTCCAGCTGCTTCTCGTGTCTGTTTTCCCGCCAAGGACGCAACAGAAATTATACTGTTTTGCTTTCTCCAGGTAACTAAAAGGATTCATAGTAAAATCTTAAAATGGAGGATTCAGAAGTAAACACAAGTCAACAGGAGTTACCAATAAGTTACTATGCCATCGCATTGTAAAAAAGTAATGGCATGAACTATGATCCATAAAATCTTATGGAGTAATAAACTGGTTAGTCACTGATAGACTATAAACCTTTGTTTTTACTAATGATCCTGCTGTATTCAAAACCAAAGACAGGGAGGAAAAAACCCAACTTGGGTATGGGAATAAAGGGCTCCTTTGTAAGATTGATCCATAGAAAATCCAAAATCCATAGTTGATATTTTTATTACGCAATCAAACTAACAAAAGAGGGTGTGTAACCTTTAAGCCCAAATGCTTTCATCAGTCATCAAGAGGATGACTAAGGCAAAGACAATGAAAAGGAAGTCTTCAATTCCTTTCACTGAACAATGCTTTGTTCTAGAAGTAAATATTCATCATACATTGCCTGTAAATCAGTGGTGGGATTCAGTCAGTTCGCACCACTTCTGCAGAATTGATAGCTAATTTTTTGTTGCCAAGGCCCAGAATGGACTTCCGGAAGCAGCATCCACACAGAGAACTGGTTGTTCATATATTTGAATCCCACCACTACTCTAAATCAATAGTAGATAATCTGGTGTTTGCTAGGTATTTTAGACTTCATTTTCCACAATTCCTTGCCAATGGCTTTCTTGAATGAAACTGACAGGACTCCAAGACGTTTGGAGGTGCCTAGACATCTTATTCCTGCTTTAAATAGTGGCCAACTCTTCTTGAAACAGTTAAACCAGAGGTCCCCAACCTTTTGGGCACCAGGGACTGGTTCCGTAGAGAAAGGTTTTTCCATGGACTGTAGAGTGCATGGTTTTATATGCTGCCTGCATCCCACAAATGAGACTTTGCTTGTTTGTGCAGACCAGTTGCTGGCATGCTGCAACCCGGTACTGGTCCAAGGACTGGGGGTTGAGGACCTCTAAGTTAAACTGTCCCTTATTTTTCATTACCAACTGTTTGAAAATTGAATGAAATGGAACTACTCAGGTTTTAAGCATACAATTAAATATTTGCTCCTGATACATCTAGAGGTCATTCTATGACAAGAGTCTTTAAACTTGGCCCTTTTATGACTTGTGGACTTCAACTCTGGTTGAGGAATTCTGGGAATTCGTCCACAAGTCATAAAAGGGCCAAGTCTGAAGACCCCTGTCCTATGAGATTGAAAAACAGAATTACCTATGATCAAAGGATCATCTGAAGAAGCTGCCCAATGCTGATGGTGCAAAGATCCAGTGAGATGTGACACTGATGTTTGAATTCAGGCCAGGATGCTGGCCATCGCAACTGATTCTTTATTTCAAGTTTGCCAAGGGTATTGGAGAATTGCACTCAAGATAATAGCAATAATATTACTTTAGGAATCTATGAATTCAGTCTTTCGTAGTCAGCAGTTGATGAAAGAGCTAAGATTCAGAGGTCCCCTTAAACGAGTATCAGGCAACTTAGTCCAGAATGATATGCTTTGATCTATACAACTTTGTGAAGCAGAAAAAGCTTTCTGGTTATGCCCCTACAGGAAATAAAATTATTTGCATTTTAAATAAACATTGATCTTCCTTTATTAAAAATACTGGGCTGAAATTAGCTTTTTTTTCATCCTGCCTAATGAAAGTACCTATGCAGCATGAAAGTTCTCATACTTTTCTCTCAGACTTTAATCAAATATTCTTTCAAAGTGCTAAAATTTCCACAAATCGTATCTGTTGGATTGGTTCTTTGAAGAGATAAGTAGGCCTAGCAGAAAAAGAAAGGTCTGAGGAAGAGGGAAAATGTGGAAGAAATATTTTAAAAACAAAAATCAGAGTGATTTCTTCTACATTCCCCCTCTTCCTCAGACCTTTCTTATTCTGCTAGGCCAGTGTTTCTCAACCTTGACAATTTTAAGGCATGTGGACTTCAACTCCCAGAATTCCACAGCCAGCATTGCTGGCTGTGGAATTCTGGGAGTTGAAGTCCACATGCCTTAAAATTGTCAAGGTTGAGAAACACTGTGCTAGGCCCACTTATCTCTTCAAAGGACCAATCCAACAGATACAATTTGTGGAAATTTTAGCACTTTGAAAGAATATTTGATTAAAGTCTGAGAGAAAATTCAGATGATTGGCAACTGATTAATATTTATGATCATTGCTGTGTCTCAAGGTCATGTGATCACTTTTGCAATCTTCTGACAAGCAAAGTCAATGGGGAAGCCAGATTCACTTAACAACTTATCAACTGCCGTGATTCACTTAACAATTAAGACAAGAAATTTCGTACAATGGGGCAAAACTCACTTAACAAATGTCTCATGTAACAACAGAAATTTTGGGCTTGTGGTCGTAAGTCAAGGACTAACTATAGTGGGATGTATCATCTTCCCAGTAACTCAGATAAATGTCTGGGTTTGCCCTCAGATACTTGCTTTTAGGCAAAAGCTGTGTTGAATTTTAATTTTTTGATATTTGTGCTTAATTCCAAAATTATTTATATCTCTGAATGAGCTCAGTGATTGCACATATTTCCATCTTTTATGCATGTAGTATATTGTGAGCGGTGTGGTATCCTAGTGAAGAAGATGCTTACCTCCCACACAGAAGGTTGAGAGTTCAATCCTTGGTAGCGTGGCAGATGTTTCTTTCCTAGGATGCAAAAAAAAAAAAAAAAAAAAAAATCTGCTGCAAACTCCATGTGGCATCAGGAAGGGTATCCAGCCAGTAAACGCTCAACTCCATCCAGTTGCCCTGAATTAAAGAATTACAGGGAGGTTTTTTTTTATGTATATGGTTTATGAAATACATTTTTTTTTCAAATCTATTGAGACCATATATTCTTGAGCTGTCTAAAACTTGGAGCCTAAGGAAAAATTAGCACATCAAAACCATCTTGCAGTCTTTGGGCTTTTGTATTTTAGCAAGGATCTGGCTGTTTTCTATTGCAAGAGTCCACAACTCCTGGGCCAGTGGTAGGATTCAAATAATTTAACAACCAGTTCCCTGCCCTAATGACCATTTTAGGTATTAAAAAAATGATATACTGAAAGGTATTTTATTATTTCATATATTTAATACTTAAATAAGAACAATAAAAGAGGTCCACAAAATGAGATTATAAGAAAAAGTTTTAAAATATTAATGAAAAATATGAAGTAATACCTGACAAAGCAATAAAACTGTTATTTAAAATATTTCCATATTACTTCTTGAATGGCATCCTCACTTGCAATTTTCTTCACTTTCATCTGAGCATCAACGGCTGTGTGATTTATCCTTAACCATCTTTTCACTGTAGAAGTAGGATCCCATTCCTTTAGAGCACTGGTTCTCAACCTTTTTAATGCCACGACCCCCAACCGGTCGTAAGTCGAGGACTGCTCAACTGGTGCAGCACCGTTTGCAGAATGGGACTTTTGGCGGGCTCAGCAGGGCAGAGACAGCCTGGACAATTCCTATTGGCTTTTGAAAGCCAATAGAATTAGACTCTATTCAAGAGAGTCTATTCTATTGGCTTTCAAAAGCCAATAGAATAAAAGGGAGTAGCACAGCTAAGGAAAAGGGGGAAAAAATGGCGGACTGCGTTGTTTGGCGACTCCTGTGAAATGGTCGTTCGACCCCAAATGGGGTCCCAACCCACAGGTTGAGAACCACTGCTTTAGAGGTAGGCTGATTAGACTAACGGTCATTGTGTTTGATATATTGGAAAGAGTTAGGCAACTCTTCTTCTCTGAACATATTGTGTTCATCTTTGAAAAACCCATTTCCACTTCTGCTGAACTTACAGCAATTGTTCTGACAATATTTTTAGCTCTTTGAACACTTTCAGGAATTGCATAGTTCTGGGAAATTTTTAAAATGTTTTCCGTGAAATCTCGATAATCATTAATATCAATTTGGTAATTAAAAATGTCATTAAGTACGAGCAATTGTTCTTCAACTGCTTTCCATGGAACTAGTTCTTCTTCAATATTCCAGTAATCTGGCTCCAAAAAATTGAGAAATTGTAATTTATTCCTATCTTGAAATTGGCTACAACTTGCTTTTAAATGTTCACAATCCATTAGTCTTTTTTTCAAATTTGTTACAATGTTTTCTAATAATCTTTCCTGAGGAAACCCAACAAATTGATGATTTTCTACAAATTTTATATTTTTGAAGGTATTTGAAATAATTAATTCATCAACTTTTTTTTCTGTATAGACCCTTTTCCTTTCCAAGCATTTGAAATGCTTGAATAGATTTTATATGTTTTTCAGACTTTATTATGTCTATACTTCTTGCTTGCAGTGCATTTAAAAGAAGAGAAATTTCATTTAAAGTGTCAATCATCAATGCCAAATCAGATATAAAATATATATTTTCAAGATGGGCAGCCATCCCTAAGTACTTTTCATCTGAATAAAAATAGCGATGTAGCAGTGGATAAGCACGCCACACAGCTAGAGTTGATCTTAAATTACAGGCAGCCCATCTTGGTCCCAAAACTCTACCAATCTTTATAATTTCAATTCCAAGTTGTTTGGATATTTTGTTAAGTTCAGTTTGGTTCTTAATGGATTGATGAATAATTATCAATAAATATTTTAAAATGATTTACTTGCTTTATTTATCGAATCATCTAAAACAAGATGCAGGCGATGGTTTAAACAGTGCCATATTATTATGTTTGGAAACTCTTTTGCTATCCTAGTGCTTACTCCAGATTTTCTCCCAAGCATAATGCTGGCACCATCGGAACAATATCCTATTAAATTTTCAATAATTTAGTAAATATTTCTTTTTTACTTTCTTTTGCAATGAAACCAATTACTTTCACAGCAGTTTTATGTGAATGTAATCCTATTCTCATATCTAATCCATTTTTAATTTGCACTTCTATTTTATCTTCTATTTCTGAAAATGGTTTACATATTTTTGCTAGGCTGTAAACTGTATAAAATACTCTACATAAATATTTTTCATTCATTGTATCTATTACCTTTGTTACTGAATCCTGCTCACATTGTTTTCTCTTTACAAATGTCACGAGCTTTTGATGAAAAATGTTCTTTCATTTTTTCTTTAGAGAAGCTTGTTATACCTCTTTATTTTTCCCTGATGCCTCAATCTGAAAACATTTCCATTCTTTTGACACATGAACACTTTTCTCTTTTGTGAAGTCATATTTTGCACAATACTTGAAACCTAACTTTTTGTTAGAAATTACCAGTCCCTCATATTTTCCTTTAAAATTGTTATATTGTTGCACTGTCCAGCATTCAGGAAGATTATTTTCAATTTTGGAGTTGTTATCACTTTTTATTTCAATAATTGATGTGCTGCTTTCTTCAAGTTGGAGTGGTTGTGGTTGTGCTTATGACTGTTTTGTACCACCAAAGACCAATTCTGATACAACTGATTCCTGATTTTGGTTTCTTACTGAAAAAATATGTCAAACTCTGTTGCCTTCTCATCCTTTTAAGGGCTACTGCAAAATAATAATAATAATAATAATAATAATAATAATAATAATAATAATAATTTTATTTTAATATATTATAATATTTATTTACAGACATTTATCGAAAATGACAATATACTGTACAAAATCTTATTGAAAAGTGCATGCATCAATAATCAAGCAACGACATGTAATAAAGAATGCAAAGTTTTATAACATATTACTACAATCACCAGAGGAAATTATAGAATAAAGAGTAGGCAATAATTAGAATCAAAAGAAAAAGGAAAAATTGTAAAAGATAAGCCAATAGCCAGAACAAGACCAAAATATCCCAAAAATAAGCAGGTATTGCTCACATAGAAAAAATATCGTGATTCAAACAATATGTATAAACTACATCAGTAGCAGTATTTAGAAATAAGATATTTCAAGTATGAAAGACAAATATATAAGAGAACAAAAGAATATTTAATCACAGCGTATGGGGAAAAAACCAAAAATATAAAGTATCAACTATGAAAGATGGTCATAAGTTACTTTTTTCAATGCCGGTCACTAAATGAATGGTTGTGAGTTGTGGACTACCTGTATAGAAGTTATCTCTGACTAAATCAGTGTTTAGTGTATGCAATTACATATCTGTGGGCTAAAACCAATGTTTCTGGAATAACAGCTCATGAAATCTCTGCTACTTATAACAGTGTATTCCCTAAAATGACAAAATTGCTTAACTAAATAAGCATTTGCTATATGAAATCACAGGTTGCTGCCACAGAACTGCTATTTGCCATCTGAAATAGCACCTGTCACTTAAACAGTGCTTATTATATTAAAACACTAAACCAAGGTTTGATATATGAAATTGAATTTCTGCTATTTAAATTTAAATCATAGGTCTTGGTATAAAATAGGAAAGCCCATTCTGCTACGAAGAACTACATTAGAGTTTAATTCATGGAATCACAGAACCCTTTAAGAGCTTTGCTGCTCATCATTAGTTGCGCTCTGTATAGCTAGACAAAAAAAAGTTCCAGAGCCACAATCCCAGCTAATACTTGGTAGCCTCGCCCCCTTTCCCGTATGCACCAATCGGGAAACTAGAGAGATGAAGTGTCTATTCTTGAAATTACCTCTGAGAAGCACCACCTAGTTTTCGCCTGAGTGATGTAATTGAAGGTGCCACATCTCCATTTGGTTTCCGTTGCTCCTCTCTTGGACTTTTGGGGAGGGTTTTTTTCCCCGCCTGGAAAGAAGTTGAAGAAAACCAGATGTGTTCCAGAAAACAGAGATTTATCATATCAGTTCGCCAAACTCAGCAAAAAACTAGGTATCAGTTCTGCCAAACCGGTGCGAACCAGCTGAATCCCACCACTGGCCACGGCCCACTATCAGGCCATGGGCTATTTGCAATCAGGCTGTGGCAAGCAGTGGGCCAGTGCACACATACATACATGCGTAACTCGACTCACGTGAGTAGCGGGCTGGTATAGACATGCATGTGTGCGCATGTGCCTGCGAGCCAGCTCGCCGCTCATGTGACCCAGTTCCCTCTCCCCGCCGCCAGGCCGCCAAGCCACAAAGGTTGGGGACCACTGTTCTATTGTACACTGGACAGCAGTATATTGTAGGTCCTGCAAGACTGCATTTTATAATTTTTCAATTTAAAAGTTGATATGTGATTTCATAGATTTTTCTTTTTAAATAAAGTTTGGTTTTTCTTTTTCTCTTGTGAGATTATTCAATCTCCCAAAAGGTAGGCAGACCGATATCTTCAACACTATCTTTAGGACATAGTGCTAGAACAATTATTTCATTCTTATCATTTATTTACAGAAAGGCAGCAGAATATGGTAATCTTATTTCTCTCATAGACCAAAGTTCTAACCTTGGGCAGAAGGTAGGGCTAGGCGCAGTGTTTCTCAACCTTGACAATTTTAAGGCATGTGGACTTCAACTCCCAGAATTCCACAGCCAGCATTGCTGGCTGTGGAATTCTGGGAGTTGAAGTCCACATGCCTTAAAATTGTCAAGGTTGAGAAACACTGGCCGCTAGAGTGAAGAATAGATTTCAGAAAGAGAGGTTTGAGACCTTCCAGTGTTATCACTACATATACGATCGCCTCCTCTGACCTCATAATCACCAGATGTGCTCAGAGTACAACTCTTCAAATTCTCATTCATAGGGATTAACACATCAGTGGACAGACAGATTAAGGAAAGCTGGTATAAACTGATTACTTTGCTACTGCCAGATAGAGAATTATTCAATAGTAGTTATTCCTTTTTGCGAAAGATGACTATGGAAATGGTTTCCAAACAAAGATTTTCTTTGTTTATGACAAGGTCCTGCATTACTTTAGGCCAGCGGTTCTCAACCTGTGGGTCGCGACCCCATTTGGGGTCAAACGACCATTTCACGGGGGTCGCCAAACAACGCAATCCGCCATTTTTTTCCGTCAGCCAGCGCAGGGGACGGCGCATGCGCGCCGCCTGCTTATGACCGGGGTCGCCGTATAAAAAGGTTGAGAACCATTGCTTTAGGCTGTATTTCTTTAACTGACAACACCCAAAACCTAATTAGATGTGTTAAAAACAGATCTAAGGTATCCCTACTTTAAAGCTAAAAAAAAATTACATCCTTTTTTTCTGTTTTCTATCAAAATGGCATGCAATATTTCTAAAAATGCAACAAGACAAAGTTAAAAACAATAATTGCTCTATAATTAAGCAGCCATTCAAAAAACATCAGAGACAACAATACTAAAAGATACAGGAAGTTAAATATTTTACCTCAATGCTACCGTACCAAGAACATTCTGCTTCTTACTCCTGGCTGCTATCAAACATGGATGAGGCAGAATACAGAATACAGGAATTTGTTGGGTAATATACATAAAATTGCATCCTAAAAGACTGTCCATCTCGAAACAAAGCAAAGTAACATATTATGTATGAAAGGAAAAAAAAACTTATACTGTGCAAGCAACCCAAGAAAACCTTTAGACCAGTGTTCTGCAACCTAGACAATTTTAAGTTGCCTGGACTTCAATTCCCAGAATTCCCGAGCTGCGGAATTCTGGGAGTTGAAGTCCAATTCAACTTAAAATTGCCAGGTTGGGAAACACTGCTCTAGAGACTTAGGCACGCAGCCAACTCTTTAAATAATAAAGTAAGCTACTTGTAAAGCAACAGAGAGTTGCAAACCAAGCGCGCGCGCGCGCGCGCGCGCACACACACACACACACACACACACACACACATGCCAAAAGGGACTCACACGACAATTCCCCACCCTTATCCACACACGCAGCTTTTCCAGGTCACATGATCAAGAATCATATGATGAGAGAATCTTCACATACTATCTCTTCTTCCCCTTTTGCCGGCCCTTCGCCTGAGCCCTCCCACCTCCGCGCGCTATTGGCCACCAGGCCGCAGGCGGGCGCATCATTGGCCAGCCTTAGGGCTTGCCTCATGCGCTACTGGTAGACTTATGGGCTTCGGGCCCCTCCCTCTTCTCATCTTGGAAAGTGACTTGAAGTTGGGATCGCAGCGACCGCCGCCGAAGGGAGGCGAATCAGAAGTTCAGGCCAGGGAGGGGGGGACGGGGAAGAGCCAGAAGGGCGATCGGAGGGGAGGAGGGAGAGACCCCTGGATCCTCAGAGGCAGTTTTGCCTAGTGGTGAGAACTCCAGAAGCTGAAAGCCAGGGGGCAAGGGAATGGATCTATGGGGCAGAATATGGAGTGTCTATAGCAAGGGGATTGTATCTTGGATCTCGAGGGAAATTGGCAGCTGAGTCCTAAGCTACGACCGCCTGCCTTCTCGGGGGAGAAAAGGGGAGCAATCGTATTAGTAGCCTGGTTTGTGGGGGGGGCGGGGAGGAAGGTGAAGGGGCCATAGTGTTTCCTCTAATTCCTTAATTTAGGGAAATCCGGGAAATCAGAAAGCAGGAGAGTTAAGGCGCACAGACAGGCACCCGTGTGTCCCCAGTGCCAGGCTGGAGAGTGCAGTGGTTAGAGCACTTTGCCATGGATGACCCCGAGGAGACCTTTGGGGGAGATGGGGATGCCAACCCGGCGCCCTACGAGGAGCTTGTGTCCGTGATGGCCGGGGGCTTGTACGGTGAACTGGAGCGGCTGGTGGGCGCCCACGGCCCTACCGCGGTCTCTGGGCTGCTGCCGCAGGTGGTTTCCGTCCTGGAGGCCCTGCAGGAGGCTTTCGGGCAAGTGCGGGACCGGGACCAGGCTCTGGAGCGGCTGCGGGATGACCGGCTGCGACTCCTGGAGCAATACGAGCGCGAACGGGCAGGGCGCAAGCGGGCGGACGAGGTGGGTATGGCCTTCCGCTCCATCGGCGGCGTCGACTAACTTTTACGCTCTTCAGTCCTTGGTTTAAGTCTCAGCTGACGGCGGAGAGGGTCGATCCAGCAATTCCAGATCAGAGAGCTTAGATGCCAGCTAGTACCAGCCGGAGCTGTCGAGCAGGCTGATTGCCGCCGCCGCCTCCTCCTTAGCAGTCGGGAGGGGCGCTCTCCTGACCGACAAGCCACAACGTGAAAAACTTTCTTGTCTCTATAGTCCTTTCTCAGGAAGGCGTGTGTAATCAGAGCAAGCCAAGACCTCTCTTGCCATGGAGACAGACACACGTGACTATTCGTGCCTAATGCTACCACAGGTTAACTGGGAAAGCTGAAACAGGTGTGTCAACACCCAGAATCTTTTGACTAAAAGCCCCCCCCCCAAAGGTTTCTGAGCTAAGTAATCAGTCCTGGGATGAGAAATTGGTCAGTAAGCAGTTAAAGAAGAGAACATAGACATAAACCAAAGAAGGCAAACTGGAGATTGACCCAAAGTTTTATACTGGCATTTTTCACCAGAAGAGTGAAATGCCATGTTTGCTGATATTTCTGAATAATGTCTGATAGTTCAGGTCAAAGAGCAGCTTGCTCTATAGATACCACTGAGTCAAACTCAAATCCTGGATAATGTCTCATCCCCAATAAAACCTCTTTCAAGGATATTTCAGTATCACTGATCCTGTCCCTACATCTTGCCCATAATTATTTTTCATTCTCCCAATTTGTCAATCCTCCACATTTTTATAGAAGCATTTTAATGTTTCTAGTTCCACAACATTGTCATTTCAACCCTTATTTGATCCAGAACCAATTCACTCCTTTTTTGCAATCCATAGGAACTATCTTCAGATTCCTGATTTAAAATGTCTATATTCTTTCTTTCTTTCTTTCTTTCTTTCTTTCTTTCTTTCTTTCTTTCTTTCTTTCTTTCTTTCTTTCTTTCTTTCTCTCTCTCTTTCTTTCTCTTTCTTTCTTTCTTTCTTTCTTTCTTTCTTTCTTTCTCTTTTTGAGTTTTCATTAAGATACTTCAAGAGGTTCAGTATAAGCAAATGACCTGTGATATGTATCAGAGTGAAAATCCTTAACTTCACATATGCATAGATGGGATCTTAGATAAGTGTGGATGGTTCCTGGTTAGGATAAGATGTAACAGTTGTTTGAAGATGTCAGTTGTGACTGCTGTGAAAAAGCTAGTGGAGACAGCCAATATCATATAATATCTTTTGTATAAAGGCATATTGTGACTGTACCTCAAATATCAAATACAATTCTGGTCATCTTCTCAAAATCCTCTCAGGATTGTTGTTGTGGAGAAAAAGAGGGGGAAGAAGACTATTGAAGGTTGACTTGACCTTCAAGAGTAAAATAAGGCACCAGATTATTGGGGTCAATAGGGTGACTCTGTAAATTGCTTAGAGAGAGGGCTGTAAAGCACTGTGAAGCAGTAGATAAGTTGAAGTGCTATTGATATTATGTATGTTCACCACCCTGAATTATTTCTAAAGAAAGGATGGGAGTTGAATTCCACAAGTCATAATAGGGCTATCATTCCCAATTTCTGTTTTAAAGGAATAAAGGTGAGATAAAAATCTGATAATTAAATTTAAAAGGCCACTATCAAGTTGGACAAGGTCTTTTAATCAAAAAGATTAAAATGAGGGGTTTTTTAGTTTAGGCAAAAAAAAGCAAATTTAGAGAAAATGATCAGAAGTGTATAAAATAATGTTCAGTGTAGAAAAGTAGCTAAGGATTTTCTCAGTTCATATATTAGTAAAACCAATGGACCCCAATGGTAAAATGATAAGAAAAAAATGTGTAGATACAGTGAGGGAAAAAAATATTTGATCCCCTGCTGATTTTGTATGTTTGCCCACTGACAAAGAAATGATCAGTCTATAATTGTAATGGTAGATTTATTTTAACAGTGAGAGACAGAATAATAACCAAAAAATCCAGAAAAACGCATTTCAAAAAAGTTATAAATTGATTTGCATTTTAATGAGTGAAATAAGTATTTGATACTCTATCAGTCAGCAAGATTTCTGGCTCCCAAGTGTCTTTTATACAGGTAACGAGCTGAGATTAGGAGCATTCTCTTAAAGGGAGTGCTCTTGATCTCAGTTTGTTACCTGTATAAAAGACACCTGTCCACAGAAGCAAGCAAGTAGATTCCAAACTCTCCACCATGGCCAAGACCAAAGAGCTGTGCAAGGATATCAGGGACAAGATTGTAGACCTACACAAGGCTGGAATGGGCTACAAGACTATCGCCAAGCAGGTTGGTGAGAAGGGGACAACAGTTGGTGTGATTATTCACAAATGGAAGAAACACAAAATAACTGTCAATCTCCCTCGGTCTGGGGCTCCATGCAAGATCTCATCTCATGGAGTTTCAATGATCATGAGAATGGTGAGGAATCAACCCAGAACTACACGGGAGGATCTTGTCAACAATCTCAAGGCAGCTGGGACCATACTCACCAAGAAAACAATTGGTAACATACTACCCTGTGAAGGACTGAAAGCCTGCAGTGCCCGCAAGGTCCCTCTGCTCAAGAAATCACATGTACAGGCCTGTCTGAAGTTTACCAATGAACATCTGAATGATCCAGAGGAGAACTGGGTGAAAGTGTTGTGGACCAAAATCGAGCTCTTTGGCATCAACTCAACTCGCCGTGTTAAGAGGAGGAGGAATGCTGCCTGTGACCCCAAGAACACCATCCCCACATAACATGGAAGTGGAAACATTATGCTTTTGGGGTGTTTTTCTGCTAAGGGGACAGGACAACTTCACCACATCAAAGGGACGATGGACGGGGCCATGTACCATCAAATCTTGGGTAAGAACCTCCTTCCCTCAGCCAGGGCATTGAAAATGGGTCATGGATGGGTATTCCAGCATGGCAATGACCCAAAACACATGGCCAAGGCAACAAAAGAGTGGCTCAAGAAGAAGCACATTAAGGTCCTGGAGTGGCCTAGCCAGTCTCCAGACCTTAATCCCATAGAAAATCTGTGGAGGGAGCTGAAGGTGCAAGCTGCCAAATGTCAGCCTGAAAATCTTAATGACTTTTAAGAGGGTCTGCAAAGAGAAGTGAGACAAAATCCCTCCTGAGATGTGTGAAAACCTGGTGGCCAACTACAAAAAACGTCTGACCTCTGTGATTGCCAAGAAGGGTTTTGCCACCAAGTACTAAGTTATGTTTTGCGAAGGGGTCAAATACTTTTCTCACTCATTAAAATGCAAATCAATTTATAACTTTTTTGAAATGCTTTTTTCTAGATTTTTTGTTGTTATCCTGTCTCTCACTGTTAAATTAAACCTTTGTTGTTGTTGTTAATTGCGAAGTCGTGTTCGACCCATCGCGACCCCATGGACAACGCTCCTCCAAGTCTTCCTGTCCTCTACCATCTTCTGGAGTCCATTTAAGTTCACACCTACTGCTTCAAAATTAAACCTACCATTACAATTATAGACTGATCGTTTCTTTGTCAGTGGACAAACATACAAAATCAGCAGGGGATCAGATACTTTTTCCTCTCACTGTAGTCCTCAACAGATGACTATAACAGAGCCTGCCCATTACAGTCATAAAATATACATTTTTCTTTTATACAAAGAAAATGTTTGTAAAAAAGAAAATACTAGATCAGTAACAAGGGGAGAGGTTGATTCTTGGATTCTCTTTACTAGCGGTTCATGGAACTGGAGGATGTGATGGATCAGGAACGTAAGGCCCATTCAACAGCTGTGAGTCAGTTAGAAGGCCAGAGCCGAATCCTGGAGAGCAAAGCACGAAGCTATGCAGATCAGGGTAAGAATAGTTATTTTGCCAAATATCTATCTATGATGCCAGTGTATCACCATTCCATATTCCCTCTCGAACTGCAATGAGCCTCCTCTGTCTCTTGGGGGTGGGGTGTAGATTTGTCGTAATATGGATAAAATAAATTCAAGTAGTAGGCGTCCAGTTAGTATCTTTTCTCTCATCTTTGCTTGCAGGAACATATGGTCGCTCCTATGCCCATTCCATAATAGGCATGCCCAATTCTGTGCCCTTGCACATCTCCACTTTTGACAGCTCTAGCTAAACTGGTCTATCTCGTTAGCCAAGATTGGATGTAAGACAAGAGACACAGTATAAGCTGCATAAACATTTTTTTCCAAGGAACATCAAAATCATTAGGAAATATAGATGAAACTGCTGAGCAATAAATATTTTGGGGGGTGAGAATTGAATTCCATTGAACTGAACAGGGCTTTAGATGTGAATCAATGAAGAGAATTTGGTTGCTCATCACAATTTAATTATTTCAAATGATGCTAAATTTTATCCTCTGTTTAGCAGATAAGACTTGTTCAGTTTACATCTAATAAAATATTCTATAATGGAAACAGTTTAAAAATGCTATTGGTGTTTGGCAAAATGTTAACTCACTGCTTCACTGCCTCCCTTTGTGTGAAGGTTTTGTTTAACAGGATTATATATCATCCCTGACTATATTTATATAATTTCAGGCATTGCTCAAAACAGCCTATTTAAGAATTGCCATAAAAAAGAGAATATTCTATAAATGTTGCTTGCCCCCCAAAAAAATCAGTTCAAAAAAGACGCAGTTTTTTAAAAATAATGCTAATTTTAATTAAAGTTAGTTTTATTATTTTCAATTCCCAATTTTATTTTTCACATTTCCATCCCACTGCAATCAAACGATTCTTGTCAGCTTATGCAGAATATAAAACAGGTTAAAAACATCCATGGTTTTGGAAGAATCATTCTTCCTTGAAAAAAAAAGTGCTGTATACTTAGCATAAAGCATTGCTAGCAAAAGTCTCTGTTGCTTTTACAAAATGAGAAGATTTGTATAAATCCATCCTATAAACTTCTTCTTTGAAATAGACCTTTCTGCATTCAAATGGGATTGATTCCCAAATGGATGTAGGATTACAGCCTCAGCATTCTTTGCATGAATCTACAAAATTTTCATCCAGGAGGCTTTTGATTATTGGAACTGGATCATCGAATTAATCTTCCAGGAAATGGATCCTTCCTGCTCCATTTCCCACTTGAACTGTACAGATAAAATTAGAGGGAAATACTTTAGTGTTATCAGCCAAGTTAAGGTTGGTTTAAGGCAGTGTTTCTCAACCTTGACAATTTTAAGGCATGTGGACTTCAACTCCCAGAATTCCACAGCCAGCAATGCTGGCTGTGGAATTCTGGGAGTTGAAGTCCACATGCCTTAAAATTGTCAAGGTTGAGAAACACTGGTTTAAGGTCTTGCTACTGATAAAACACCATTTTCTTCCTTCACAGTGGCTGGTCTGGAGGAACAAAAATCTTCACTACTCAAGGAGATTTCGATTCTCAATCAGAGCTACACAAAGGTACTTCTGAACGGTGGAAGTCTTTCAGTGGCCCTTCCCACATGCCTTTGTTTTTCCAAGCCACCGTTGCACTTCCTCTTCTGTTTCTTTCAGATGGTACAAAACTGCAAGGAACTGAGATCACAAAAAGTGGCATCAGCTGGTCCAGGACACACTAGCTCTTCATCCATAGAAGAGAAAAGGTTTGAAAGGAGGGAGGGAAGGTGTGTGTGTGTGTGTGTGTGTGTGTGTGTGTGCGTGCGTGCAGGATTTCAGGACAAAAGCGGAAAAAGTAGTTGGAGGACCAGTGGGTTAAGGTAAGTGTCCCTTAAGTAACTGTGGCATTTTTTTCCTGAGCTGTGGCTGAACACCCCCAGGAAAATATTTGTTTGAAGTCTGAAAGCACTGATAGTACCTCCTTGTTTATTTCAAAACAGCTTGTTGGACTTAATCCAAATATGTGTTTTCCTGAGATATGTGCAGCTCAGGAAAAGATACCACTTCCTTAAGAAGGTACCAGCAAGGACAGTGTCTATGCCCATCCCACTCCTTTGAAGCCACCTTTTTTGTCCATGATCCTGTCTTGATTCAACAAGTTTGACTTTATCATGTGTTACTGAGTAATGATTTCCTAACCCTCAACTTATAACCAGTCACTTAGCAACCATTCAAAGTTATGACAGACAACCTCCCCAAGATACTTATGACCCGGTTCCAAAGTTCCTATCACTGCACACACACACACCAGTCATGTGACCACATTTTGGTGTTCAGCAACTGGCCTGCATTTACGGCTGTTTGCAGCATCACGTAGTCACATGGCTTTTACAATGCTTTTGCCCAAACTCATAATTTACTTCCGGTTTTCATCAAAAATACCCCCCCTCGTGAACAATGGTCATAAAATCGGGTCAGTCTCTCTCTGTGTGTGTATGAAGTGACATTTGCCTCCTCCACAGCTATGACAACTAGCTGTTCCCAAAAGACTTGGTAGAGGTAGATTGCAACGGAGTCCTTTAACTACCTTTAGAAATCATGCAGAGCACTGCAGAGCAAGTCCTGTTTGATGACAGGTTTGCTCTATTTCATTCAAATCTGGCTAGTATTTGCCTTCTCTTGCCTTTTAAAAGAATAACAAATAAGTCTCCCAGGCCATTAACAACAGCAATAAATTATTTATCTGTCTGCTTTTATTCAGTGTATTATATTGGTGCCCCAAGGGTGCTTTTTCCAAAAGGCAACTGGACTTGGTTTTTTTCCTTAGAAAACATTTTGCTTCTCATCCAAAAATCGTCTTCAGTTCTAACTGACTGGTGGGGAATGGAAGGATTTATATTCTTTGCAGCTGTCTGGTCGTTAGATGATTGTAAAGAATATAAATCCTTTCATTCCCCACCAGTCAGTTAGAACCAAAGAAGCTTCTTGACTGGGGAGCGAAATGTTTTCTAAGGAAAAAACCCCAAGAAAGTCCATTTGCCTTTTGACCTGGATGCTTGAAAATCTCCATAGACATATATTAGTGCCCCTTTAAAAAAAATTTGGGGCAAGGGGAGCAGAGCATAATGTGTGCCTATTTTAATTACATTGGTAATTAGAATAACTAACTGCTTTCTGGGGCTCAGAAAGAAAATACCTGCTGCAAACTCTGCATAAGCATCAGGAAGGGCATCCGGCCAGTAAACACTCAGCTCTACTCAGTGCACCCTGAATAAAGGGATTAAAGGGTCATAAAAAGAAAAAAAACTGCTTTAATGTAGGGTAGAAGGTATAAGAAATGGCACTGACTGATCTAGAGTTTCCAAGACATTTAAACAGACCAAGGCAGACATGAGAAAATTAAGATCCTTTTCTTTTTTCCTCCCTCAATGAACAGGCCGAAGCCCCCACCAGTTCGGGTTCGTATGCCTCTACAGTTTCAGTCAAGCCCCTCAGACTTGAAGCCTCCCAAGTCCTCAGTGGTAGGTGGATTCCAGTGAGGGGTTAAGCTCTGATAGCCGCAGTGATGGCTGAGAAGACCAGTGAGAAACAGGGGTATTAAGGAAAACCATAAAACAAATTCTGTTTTTCTCTCAATCTGTTGGATCTTTTTAGGAATATGGAGAAATGAATGAACTTTCTCATCCAGAGAAAATGCCCCAGAAAGTTGCAGAAAGAAATGCATTTCCCTTGGCACAGGAAATGGACGTTCAGCCAGAAAAGGAGGGTATGGAGGAGATTGTCTCTTTCTCTCTTTGGTAGGATCAGTTTTAATCCCAAATAGGAGTCTTATTCCAAGTAGATTAAGACAAGTCCCCGTTATTTCCTTGGCAATATTTTTCATGAGTGTTTGGCTACTGCCTACTTCCTTGACAGAAAGTAACTAGCCCAAAGTCACTCAGCAGCTTTTTGTGCCTAAGGCATTACTATAATAAAATTAAAAAAAATAACAGAGTTGGAAGGGACCTTGGAGGTCTTCTAGTCCAACCCCCTGCTCAGCAGAGAACCCTATACCATTTCATACAAATGGTGTCCAATCTCTTCTTAAATACCTCCAGTGTTGAAGCACACGTAAGGTCTAGAGGCAAATCATTCCACTGATTAATTGTTCCAACTGTCAGGAAATTTCTCCTTAGTTCTAGCTTGGTTCTCTCCTTGATTAGTTTCTTGCCCTGCCCTCAGGTGCTTTGGAGAATAGGTTGACCATCTCTTTTTTGTGGCAGCTCCTGAAATATTAGAACACTGCTATCATGTCACCCCCCTAAGTCCTTCTCTTCATTAAACTAGACATACCCAATTCCAGCAACCGTTCTTTATATGTTTTAGCCACCAGTCCCCTAATCATCTTTGTTGCTCTTCTCTGTACTCTTTCTAGAGTCTCAATATCTAAAATTCATGGTCTTCCAATTACTTGTCTGGTGCCTTTAACGCCTACACCAACCTGGATTTGGGGATACTTGGGCCATTTTTTTTTTTCCTGCTGGTGATTACTTTTGCTCAGGAATCATCTGCTGGTGTCTCAGATGTTAACAGGGTCTGAAACAAGCAGAGCTCTGGGTCAGCCTTAACACCGAGAGCCAGTTTGATCTAGTGGTTAAGGCACCAGGCTGGAAACCAGGAGATGGTGAGTTCTAGTCCTGATTTAGGCATGAAAGCCTGCTGGGTAACTTTGGGCCAGTCACTCTCTCTCAGTCCAATTCGTCTGGTAGTTGTTGTGGGAAAAAATAGGAAGAGAAAGAGAAATGTTCACCGCCTTGAGTTATTTATAAAAATAAAGGCAAGATAATGAATACATACAAACATCACTTTTTTCTCTTTCTGACACTCTTCTTCCTTGCTCCCTGCCTCCTCCCACTTCTTTCTCTTTCTTGTACTCTTTTTTTCTCCTTCTCTCAAATAGCAAACTGCAAGGAAAGGGCAGGTAAATTTTCTGAACTAATTGATTGCCAAAGGCTGCAGATAACTATCATCAGCTAGATATGCCTCTTTGAATTTAAGTTGCTGATCCCCAGCCTTCAACACTGTGCTCTTATCTGCTTGACTGTATCTCTCAACAATCTCTGGGAGAGATCCTTCTCCACCTGTGCTCCCACAACAGCCAAAAACTGTAGTTAGGGCCAGTGGTGGGATTCAAATATGTGAACAATCGGTTCTCTGTGTGGATGCTGCTTCTGGAAGTCCATTCTGGACCTGGGCAACAAAAATTAGCTACCAGTTCTACTGAACTGGTGTGAACTGGCTGAATCCCACCACTGGTTAGGGTCTTCTTTATGCCTAAACTATGCTCCTCTGTCTGTAACAAAGTGGTTGGAAGTCACCCATGCCAGCTTTGAATTAATTGCAGGAGGCATATATGGATGATAGATTCTAAAGGGATAGAGTGGTCTGTGTAAGTTTAGGCTAGGAACCATTGTGGGACCTCCGTGGAATCTCTCTCTATGGGTAAAGGCTCATACGAATGAAAGTAAGAGGGTTGGGCTGAATGTTTTTCTATTGTATTTTACAGGTAGTCTTCAACTTACAACCACAATTGAGCCAAAATATCTGTTGCTAAGCGAAACAATTGTTAAGTGAGTTTTGCCCCTTTCTTGCCACAGTTTAGTGAATCACTGCAGTTGTTAATTGAGTAACACGATTGTAAAGTGAATCAGGGTTTCCCATTGATTTTGTTTGTCAGAAGGTCACAGAAGATGATCACATGACCCCAAGACATTGCAACTGTCATAAATATGCACCAGTTGCCAAGCATCTGAATTTTGATCATGTGACTGTAGGGATGTTGCAATGGCCATAAGTGTGAAAATTGATCATAAGTCACTTTTCTCAGTGCTATTATAATTTTTTTTTCTATTATTTTTTTGTATTTTTTTCCCAAAAAAGTTTTTATTTTTCAATTATCAATTACATAAACAAAAAAGAAGAAATTTCACATTTGACAAGATAGAATGAATACACCTAGATGTCGCTTGCCCACCCCCCCCTGAAACCACATCCGCCCCTCTTATACTCTCCCTTACTTCCCTCCTCCTTCTCCCTCCCCTCACCTCTCTCTCCCTTCCCCCTCTCCTCTCACCATCCTACTTCCTCCCAAACCTTTCTCCTCCTCTCTCTCTCCCCTCCCCCTCTCCTCTCACCATCCTACTTCCTCCCTAACCTTTCTCCTCCTCTCTCATCCCTCTTCGGATACAGTACCGGGGGAAATGCCCAAGCAACATCTCTCTCATAAGTTATCCCTTATTATCTTACTTTGATCCTATCATCTAACCTACCTACCCCCCCACCCCAACCCCCCTCCCTCCCAGTCCCAAAGACCCACCCACCCCGACCTCCCCTCCTCCCCACTTCCCAGAGCTTGGCACAGGGTTTTCAAACATATTAAACAAAATCTACTTAACTTTAACTAATACAAACTAAATCTAACTAAACCTATCCAACTATACAAATAACAAAATCAATAAGTTACTTTAACTCAAATACAAAACAAATTTAAACAAATTAAAGAAAATCAACTATCAAAATCAAATAATGCCAAATTTAAAACAAAAATTGTTCATAATCAAGACAATACTTTTAATCATATCTACTCTAATCAAAGTTTACCCATTTTTTTTCAAGCATATTAAACAAAATCTACTTAACTTTAACTAATGCAAACTAAATCTAACTAAACCTATCCAACTATACAAATAACAAAATCAATAAGTTACTTTAACTCAAATACAAAACAAATTTAAACAAATTAAAGAAAATTAATTATCAAAATCAAATAATGCCAAATTTAAAACAAAAATTGTTCATAATCAAAACAATACTTTTAATCATCTCTACTCTAATCAAAGTTTACCCATTAAATCCCATATTTATTTTAACTTTAACTAATACAAACTAAATCACAATAAGTAAAACGAAAATTATTCATAATCCAAACAATACTTTTAATCATATCTACTCTAATCGTAATTTACCCATTAAATCCCATATTTATTCTTCATATAATTTATCCACCTTCTCCACACCGAGATGTGTATTTCGTTTGAACAATATAAACTTAGCTCTTAACTCTTTCCCCCCCCCAGACCCAAATACGTTTTGTAATAACCTTTTCTCCCAAATCAAAACCTTACAACATTCTTATCCACTTTTAATATATTATAATATATCATAAGTACTCTCAAATATTAAATCACCAAATTAAAACCTATCAACTATTCTCTCGAGCAGAAATCATAATTTTAAGCTTTTAAACTTTCCCCTAAAGAACAAAAATTTAACTTTATACGTTTATTAAAAATTATAGTAAATACTCTCAGATATTAAATCCCTAGATTAAAGCCTATCAAGTCTTCTCCCAGGCAAAGATCATAAATTTAACATCCTGGGTTGCAATTTGAAATCTCTGCTTGTAAAAGGCTTGTAAAATTTTATTACGAAGTGATCTACTAAAAAAATAAATAACCACATCTCGTGGCAGATTCCTCTGTCTTGCAACCCTTGAATTAACCCTAAAAACTTTTTCTGTCTCTCTCAATATTTCTTAAGGCTCAGATTCCAAAATAAGAGCTATATCCTTTGCAACCACTTGTCTCAAATCTTCTTGATTATTTTCCTGCATTCCCCTTATTTTTAAAGCAGACTCCATACTTCTGTATTGTAACATAGTAATTTTATCCTGAATTATTTCCACTTTATTTTCTATTTTATCTTCCAATTTTTCAGAATTTTCTACAGCAACATCAATACGCTGATCCAAACGATCTATGTGATCAGCAAACTTCTGGAGCACAGACGCTATATCTTCTCTCAATTCCCTAAATTTATTTTCAATAATTTCACTTATCTCTTTTTCAATCCGTCGTACACTATCTTCCAAAGTGTCCTGTAAGTCTTTAGGTAAAACTGCTGGTAAAGCTGAGAAAAGTGGTGGAAATTTAGACTCGACTTGCTGAGCTGTCTGCATTACCGAAGAGGAGATTGAGGCTTTAGAAACAAAAGCTCCAAAATGCTTTGAAGCCATCTTAAAAAAAAAACAAAAAAAACAACAACAAAAAACTCTTAAAATCTTATAAAACCTTTAACAAAGAGAGAGAGAGAAAAAAGAAGACAAAAGGAGGGGGAAAAAGACAAAAGCCCCCTGTGTATATAAAAAAAAAGAAGAAAAAAGAAAGCTGTTACATTGTTTCAAATTGAAGTTCCGGTCCTTTCACTCTTAAAAACAACATCTCAGCGCCATTTTTCACCCCTCTCAAATAAGAAAAGAGAGAAGATGAAATCTTTTCCAGAGTTAAAGTCTCAAAATAATCACAGATATAATCTCCCTGCTCAGCTCTGTCTGCTTTAAATTTTACTCACAAGTTCATTTTAAAAGCAGATGTGTAAGCAGCGTCTAGCTTTGCCCCCCCCCAAAAATAGAGCAAAGGCATCCTGGAATGTGGAGAACACCTCAGACTCCGTGGGAGCTCTCACCCTCCGACCACCAAAGAAAAAAAACTTTGGGGTCTCTCAGGGAGCCCTGCCACTATCCGAGGGAAACTCATCTCCTCCCCTTCGCCCAGGGAGAGAAATTCCAAGCCGCGAGATGGCTGTTGCTCGCTGTCTCAGCTGGCTTTGACACATTCCAGGGCGGACGGCTGAGAACAGCCGCCATCGGCGCCGCCGTCACAGGAAGTCGATTTCGTGCCATTATAATTTTGAACAGTCACTAAACGAAAGATTGTAAGTTGAGGACTACCTGTATACATCCTTACTTAAAAGTAAATCTAGGGAATTCATGCTGGCTGGGGAATTCTGGGAACTGAAGTCCACACATCTTAAAGTTGTCAGAGTTGGGAACCCTGTCCTAAAAATAAGAGAGAAAGGGATAATAATCAACAGGAATAATAACATTTCTGTGATTTTCCCTTTCTTTTCTTGTTAGCTTCTCCTAGTCAGGATGGCTTTGATTTGGACGAACTTTTAAGCTCTACTCCAGAACTCAAATCTGACCCCCAAATACAAAACAGGTAAGGTAAATGTATTCATTAGTTATACTTCTAAGCAGAAAGTACAGATTGGACAACTATAATTAGTATACACCTGACTAGGAATACTTCTCCAATGGAATAAAAAAACACCTAGGTCTTTCTATCCTGCCATCTTAATCTCAGCATGACCTTAATCTCAAGTTATTGGCCCTTTCCAGTCTCTTTGTCCTTCTGAAGCTATCATTTGATGGACAGTTAGCTCTTCTAGGCATCCCAATTTCTGCTTTGGAGGATCACATACCATTGAGTTTGATTGGCCAGATAGTTAGCTTTTTCACACATCTCTTCTGCAGCTGCTGTTTTGAAACCATTGCAGTCTTCAGAAGGAAAGAGGTGTAACCTTGAGGAGCAGGAGGAAGTCAGATAAAAGAAATCTGACTCTGGGACAGAAATGTAATTTGAGAAAGTGTCTCAGACATGACCCTCCCTAGTTCTCATGAACATAAGGGGGGGCTCACTGAGACTTGCAAGACTTTGTTACTATAACCTTATAATAAAAGTAGTATTAGCTTGTGTGTCTTTGGTTTCCAACTTTGATCATCTTCGGAGGACTGATAACACCCTTGCAAGTTTCAGTGTACTTCCACCCATCACCTCTTTTATTTTTTGTGAAAACTAAGGAGGGTCTTGTCTGAGATGCTTTCTCGGGTTACCGTTTTGGTCCCAGATTCCTTTTTGTCTGACCTTTGTCTTGATTGTGGCTCTTGCTCCTGCTCCTTAAAGTTATCCCTGCGTGGGATAGCCAAGGAGATGACAAACTGATGGCAACTGAGTCCAAATTCTTCTCCAGCAACTTTCCCTCAGCGCAGATATCCTCCCTCACCCCTTCACTGAGTTCTGTTTAGTGTAATGTCAGACATGGCGGTGTCTTATTGGCAGGATGGAGGAGGGCGGGGACTCTTGTCTGTCTATTTGTTTGTGTGTCTGTCTCTCAGCCCTTTGAATACCACCCTCGAGCGCAACATGGTCTCCCTTTTCGCTGAAGTTTCAGGCCTCAGCCCAGACCTCCTCACTGACATGGATGATGGTGCTGATTTGCAGGGTAAATATAATGCTTTTTTCTGCATTTTCCCCTGATTTAGAATTCAGGAATCCTAGCTTGACTTCCAAACCCCCCTGTAACTTCTCTGAGTGGGACATTCTGATTTGGATGCATAAAGAGCAGATGTCAACTGATGTCCATGTCTACTTTCTTTGTAGGAGATGCCTTAGAAACCTTGCTAGCAGAAAACGCTCAGCTTCAAGAAGCACGGTAAGACCGAACACCTAGTTTGCCATCTCAAATTAATGAGAGCCAAAAACCTTGTTAAAAATACATTCAAAACAGCTGTCCATCAAACTGCTCGTGTTTTAGTTGGCTTTAGACCAGTGGTTCTCAACCTTTTTAATGCCGCGATCCCCAACCGGTCGTAAGTTGAGTATTACTCAACTGGTTGTTAAGTCGAGGACTACTCAACTGGTGCAGCACCTTTTGCAGAATGGGACTTTTGGCGGGCTCAGCAGGGCAGAAACAGCCTGGACAATTCCTATTGGCTTTTGAAAGCCAATAGAATTAGATTTTATTCAAGAGAGTCTATTCTATTGGCTTTCAAAAGCCAATAGAATAAAACGGAGTAGCACAGCTAAGGAAAAGGGGGAAAAAATGGCGGACTGCATTGTTTGGCGACCCCCGTGAAATGGTCATTCGACCCCAAATGGGGTCCCAACCCACAGGTTGAGAACCATTGCTTTAGACTTAGCATGCGCTTCTGGATTTTGAAGCTGGCTTTAAAATCTTCATTCCATGGCCATCCATCTCCAGAACTGCTCTGGATACAGCCCGCCGCCATCTTATTAACCGTGTGGAGGAGCTCAGCGAAGAGCGTGAATCTTTACGGATGGAGAATGGGAGATCATTGACTGACCTGCGTAGTTGCCAAATGAAGCTGAAAGAAGCTGAGTTGGAACTTCTTCGGTAAATTTTGAGCACTCTCCTATATTTATTCCACCTCTTCGTCTACCACGCAACACTGTATTTGATAAAACAAAGTATAGCTAGACCTCCCATACTGACTGCCTCATGCAGCAACTATTCAAACGATGGTGCTGAAAAAATAACTTTACAACCAAGGCACACACTTATGACCCTCACAGCGTCGCTCAGTTATTTGATCACCATTACAATCATTACTTGTTATTCTGTGTGTCTGGTCAATTCTGTTCTTCCCCATCCCCAATTGCAGACCAGAGAGATTGGAGAGGAAGGGATTATAAGAGAATAAGCAGGCACACCATACACATCAAAAGAATACACTAGTACCAACTGTTTGCCTGGTGCCCTTGAGGCTTAGAGCTACATGAGCAATAGGGCCAGCATATTCTTTTACCACTGTTTAAATGGTGCATCAATTGTCAAAACAGATATTGTCTACAATTTCACTCTAAGCAGGACATTCATTTTTATCTTAGTATTGATGACTAAAACAGGTTTTAAGATTGAGAAAAAAGTAAAATATCTGGCTATTATATATTATTTCATAATAATTGCGCTAAGATATGCAATTAAGAATGATATGTTGAGATAGGAGAAAGTGTAATGTCATTGTTGGGGAGAATTTCTGTGATAAAAAGTGATTTTTATCAGTGTTTTTCAAACTTTTCATACTTGATAACTTTAAGATGTATGGATTTCAACTCCCAGAATTCTGGAAGTTAAAAGTCCATGTATTTTAACTTTGTCAAGTTTGAAAAACAATTGAATAGACCAGTGGTGGCGAACCTATGGCACTGGTGCCAGAGGCGGCACTCAGAGCCCTCTCTGTGGGCACGTGCACCGTTGCCCCAGTCCTAGGCCTTCAGCTGGGTTTTATAAAACCTTTTCACTTTAGACCTCTGCTGCCGTGTGCAAAAAAAAAAAAAGGTTCAATCAATCAGTCAGTTTCAACTTCTTGCGGGAAAAAAAGATTTTGCAAAGTTGGAATTGATTGATTGAACTTTTTAGTCCCACCCAGTCTGCCGTTACCACCGCATCCACGCCACCCAATGGGCCACACCTGGCCAATGGGCCACATCCAGCCAATGGCCACACCCACCTGGCCCCCGACAATGCATAAGTGGGTTTTGGATTGCAGTTTGGGCACTCGGTTTCTAAAAGGTTCGCCATCACTGGAATAGACTATTGTGTGTCTTTCAAATGTTAGTTGGCTTTTATTTATTTATTTATTTTTAACCCTGGGGTATGTCTTAATTAAAAATTAATGTATGTGTATCAGGGCACTGAATTGGTTATGTGATTTCTGATTCAGTTCTAGGATATTGAACATTCATGGACTTAAAAACAAAACAAAACATGTGATCGTATTTCTTTTTCAAACTTTGAATTTTAGGATCCGGCAGGAATTTAAAGAATCAAGGCGTTCCAGTGAGGAGGGAGAGGTAACCATCAAGGACCCTCATCCATACTTGACAGAGGTGCTGAAATCTTTGGGATGCAAATGGGAGAGGCAAGAGTATAGACTAGCCTGATGCCCTCCAGCTGTGTTGTGTTTCTGTCCAAATGCATCTGGATGGTAAAGTCTGGAGGACATCTGGAGGATACTAAGCTGGGAAGACTGGGTTTCTGGCAAAAGAGGATTCAGAGCTTTGAATGGAGAGAAATATATCTGAGCTATTGAGGCAAGGCTGCCCATTTCCTCCACAGGCTGAGGGGGCGTTGTCCCAGACTCAGAGGTTCACCCGTGCGGAGATGGCCCGTGTCGTGATGGAGCGTAATTTGTATAAAGAGAGGCTGATGGAACTACAGGAAGCTGTTCGACGTGCTGAGCTTCTGAGGTAAGCCATATTCAGGATTCCTGTTTTAAAATATTTTATTAATTTTCCAATTTTACATTTAGGTATTTAAAAAGCAACGTGGTGACTGGGTAATTAGTAGTTTGATAACAAAATCTTTAGTACAAATCTCAAGTTGCAACATCAAATATTTCTTCTCTTTTTCCCTTAATATTTACTGTCTCATATTCAAGCTAGTACAATTCTTATTATATCAGCTCAATAAAAACATCATTATTACATTTATCAATAAATTTTTAGCTTATACGTATCTTAATTACATTCAATCTTCATAGACAATACATATCCTGTTATTAATTTTTACCCAATTTTTAATTTCTCATCAATATTCCAATTTAACCTTTGATATTTATAATTTTCAAGCCTTAGATAACCAAAAGTTCCCTTATCTCAATTCATAATTAAATCTAATATCCAAAATACACATTTTATCTATTTGAATATAATCTTGTTCTATTTCCTAAAAGTTATCTATTTCCCATCATATTAAATCATCTACTTAATGATACAATATCCCCTTTAATAAATCAAAACCATTATGTATATTACGTGGGTTAATCAATAAATCAAACATATTCATAATAATTAATGTTCTTTTTCCTTTTAGGTCTAATTTTTAAATATTAAACAGATAGAGTCCTTATTTTCAATTAATTTCCAAGTCGTTTAAATCTAATGACCAGAATTCCCCTTATCTCAACTTCTCCCTTTTACCCTCTAATTAATAATGTGACGTATTCAGGATTTCTGAGAGACCGAGAAAAATCTGTATCTACAGATAGTCCTTGACATACAACCACAATTGAGCCTGAAATTTCCATTGTTAAGCAAGACAGTTGTTAAGCGAGTTTCACTCTGTTTTATGGCCTTTCTTGCCAGTGAATTGTTAAGTGAATCACAGGAGTTATTAAGTTAGTAACACAATTGTTAAGTGACTCTGGCTTCCCCATTATCAACAGATCACAAAAGGTGATCATATAACTCCGGGACACTGCAACCATTATAAATATGAACCAGTTGCCAAGCGTCTGAATATTGATAACGTGATCACGGAATGCTACAATGGTCACAAGTGTGAAAATGGTCATAATCACTTTTTTCAGTGCTGTTGTATCTTCAAACAGTCATGAAACAAATGGCTGAAAGTCAAGGACTCCCTGTTGTTCTCTGTGATCTTTGCCAGCCCTTCCAGCTTAACCAGGGAAATCTGCCATTTGATGTAGAACTTGTCTTGGCTAACTTAGTCATGGCTCTTCCTAAAAAGCTTGGGTTGCTTCCTAGCCAAACTCTTTGGGATGACCCAGAAATGAGTAGGAGTTTTTCATCCCTTGCTTCTGGTCCAAAGATGTTGTCCTTGCCTACTGTAACAGCATCCCAGGGACCAAAATGGGAGAAAAAGAAGAGAGATAGTCTCTTTTCCATGGCTGATTAAGCAGCTGTAGCTAGGGAAATGAGTTACTTTGGAAGTGGGAATTATAAGTTGGTGAGGCTTGTATTGCAGTCTTAGCAATCTCCCTGATCACATTAAGTCAGGGGTTTTCAAACTTGGCCCTTTTATGATTTGTGGACTTCAACTCCCAGAATTCCTCAGCCAACGTGCCTGGCTAAGGAATTCTCGGAGTTGAAGTCCACAAGTCATAAAAGGGCCAAGTTTGAAGACCTCTGCATTAAGTGTTTTTTCCAAAAGTCCTGTTACTAACTAATACAGCACTAGCTGGACTTTTTCCTTCTATGTTTCTTTTTCTTTTGAAATTGAAATACTTGCAATTTTATTTTTATAGCCCATTTTCCCAATCTATGTTCACTTTGCTTCTTAAAAGATAGAAGTCATATTAAGGTTTGTTTTAAGAGTGCACTTTAGTTGTAAGATTTGCAGGATATTTATGAAATGTAAAAGTGTAATGTAGGTAGTCATTATATCCACTAACCCAATTTACTTAAAAAGCTTTGTTTTCCACTTGGTTACTGTTATGTCCCGAGCCTTGCAAACGGCTCGGGCGTTTGCAGGCAGTCCCGGGCAGGTGCAAAGCTGCCCGGGACCAGACAGGCTGTCGCCAGCGCCATGCACATGCGCGGGTGCTGGCGCGGGAAAAGTATCGCATTTACCCGGGAAATGTCTATATAAGAAGTTGGGAGGTTTTGGGAGCTGCTGAAGCCATCTACTTGTAAGCTGAACGCAGAATAAAGAAAACTGAGAATTTCAACTGCTTCTCGTGTCTGCTTCCCGCCACGGACTCAACACTGGCGACGAAGGTGGGATTGCCTTACACCGCCTGGAAAGGAAGAAGTGTAAGCTTACCCAAGTGAGTCCTGAGCGGCGGAACGGCGTCGACTCGGCAGCTACCCGCCAATCCAGTGCGCATTCGGGGGTAGGCTGGCTGATAGACCCGTCTCCTGAAGATGGCAAAAATCGGAAGGCTTTCGGAATTCGACATCTCACATCCAGAGCGGTGGGAGTCATACGTAGCCAGGGTGGAGAACTACTTCAAGGCAAACCAAGTGAAGGAAGAGAGCTTGAAGGCTGCCATCCTGCTTTGTGTTTGCGGCCAAGACGCCTTCGACATCGCAGAAAACCTTGCAGCACCTGTTCCAGTAGAGTCTGTAAGCTACGCAGATCTGAAGAAGCTACTGAAGGAGCACTTCCACCCCAAGATGTCCGTCATCGCATGGCGCCACACCTTCGAGCAGAGGGATCAACGGCCCGGTGAGTCGGCCAAAGAATTCATCGCCGCATTACGGAAGGCCGCCAAGCACTGCGAGTTCAAAGACCTCGAAGAACGACTGAGGGACCGATTCGTGTGCGGGTTAAGGCATCGAGATCTACAACAGAGACTTTTCGCTAAAGAAGAATTGTCCTACCAAGATGCCTTAAGGGAAGTCACCGCAGAAGAAGCAGCAGGCGGCGCTGTCAAGAACATGCGGCCGATCAGAAACAGTCCAGAGGTTGCATCCGTGCACCAGGAAGACGTCCAAAGAAACTCCCGAGGAGGATCCGGACGAGGAAGTCGACCGTCTCCAACCCACGAAGGAAGAAAAACAGAAGGGAAGCTCTTCAGCTCCGCTCAAGTGCATCGGCTGTGGAGGTCGCCACAGGAGAACCGACTGCAAGTTCCGCTCCGCTACCTGCCGGGCATGCGGCAAACAAGGACACATTGCAGCTGTGTGTCTGGGCCGACGAAAGGTACAACCTCAGGAAGAACTGCGCCTGAAAGGTACCAGATTCCCCAGCCAGAATAGGGTAGGGTTTTGCGCTTCGCGAAGAAGCATCCTTAGGACAGGCACACACAAGCCCATTAAGAAAAAGCTGTCACTCAAGGTGAAGCTACAAGGGGTTCCATTATCTATGGAACTAGACACAGGGTCTGCCTTTTCAATTATCTCCTTGCATACATTTAGGAAGAGTTGTTCCGGTAGTGGAACTCAGGCCAAGTTAAGGCCTTCTGACATTGTGTTAACAGATTTTCAAAATTCAAGAGTGTGTGTTAAGGGGGAGGCCACCCTTAACGTGCAATACAAGAGTTTTGAAGGTCCACTAGACTTATTAGTAGTAGGGGGTGAACGAACGAGTCTCATAGGACTCGATTGGTTTGAGGCCCTGGGGATACACGTCACAGGACTCAACAGTTTACAAACACTCGACCTACAGGAAGTCTGCAAAGAATTTGCAGATGTTTTCAGCCCCCAGCTGGGCACATTCAAAGGACCCCCTGTGTCCTTAAAGCTAGACCCCACTGTCACTCCCATTAGAATTAAAGCAAGAAGGGTCCCTTTTGCTTTAAAGAGTAAAATTGACACTGAGTTAGACAAACTGATCAACAGGGAATCCTAGAACCTGTTGATTCCAGTCCTTGGGAGACCCCCATTGTCACGCCTCTAAAGGCAAATGGGGACATTCGCATTTGTGCTGACTACAAATGCACTCTTAATAAGGCATTGCAGCAACATGCCTATCCTGTTCCTGTGGTCAGTCATATTCTGGTCATCATTCTGGCCTCCCTCAAGGGGGGCGCGTTTTTGCAAAGCTTGACCTAGCTCAAGCGTATCAACAGCTGCCTGTTGATGATGCTGCTGCTTAGCTCAGACTATTGTGACCCACAGGGGAGCCTTTAAGGTAAAAAGGCTGCAGTTTGGAGTGAATGTCGCTCCTGGGATTTTCCAAAGCGTAATGGAAAACACACTGCGGGGCATACCGGGGGTTTGCCCCTACTTTGATGATGTCTTAATTGCAGGAGACGCCACACACATTCTAGCTGAAAGGCTAAGGGCTGTTCTGTTAAGATTCAGGAAATCAGGCCTCAAGCTCAAAAAAGACAAATGCATGATTGGGGTGCCTTCTACTGAATTTCTGGGGTTCAAAATTGATGCTGCTGGGATTCACCCTGCTGAATCCAAACTGACTGCTATTTTAGAAGCACCTAGGCCAAAGTCCAAGGCCGAACTTCAGGCCTTCCTGGGCCTCCTGAATTTCTACAATTCTTTTCTTCCACAAAAAGCTAGTGTAGCTGAGCCTCTTCACAGGCTACTAGACAAGCAAGCAGTGTGGCAGTGGTCACAAACGCATGAGGGTTGTTTTAACAAAGTCAAGGCTTTGCTCACTTCTAACAGTGTACTTGCACATTTCAACGAGTCTCTTCCTGTGTGCATCGCTTGTGATGCGTCCCCTTACGGGGTTGGAGCTGTCCTGAGCCACCTCAGGTCTGATGGAACTCAGGTTCCTGTTGCATATTACTCCAGAACATTGTCTTCTGCTGAGCGCAACTACGCTCAGATAGACAGGGAGGCTCTGGCTGTTGTTGCTGGAATTAAAAAATTCCATGACTTTCTATATGGCAGGCACTTCACGGTCTTCACTGACCATAAGCCTCTGCTGGGACTGTTTACCACACGTAAGCAGACTCCCCAAATCATTTCCCCTAGAATGCTTAGGTGGTCTATTTTTTTGTCTGCATATGATTTTTCATTACTCCACAAGCCTGGGAAAGAAATGGGCCATGCTGATGGCCTCAGTAGATTGCCTCTGCCAGTAGTAGAAGCTGACCCTGCGCCAGCTGTCAACATTCTATCAATCCAAGCCTTGCCCGAGCTCCCTCTTAGTGCCAGGGATGTTGCCGCTGAATCAGGTACAGATCACACACTTTCACGTGTCCGTTCCTGGGTTTTGTCTGGTTGGCCTGAGCACTGCCCTAGTCCTGAGTTTCAGATTTCGTGTCCAAAAGAACTATCTGTCCCTTTCTCAGTGGTTGTCTGCTTTGGGGAACAGTTGTCATTCCACTCAATGAGGCTAGGTCTTAGAATCCCTCCACGAGGGTCATCCTGGCATTGTTCGTATGAAGTCTCTTGCGCGCAGCCACTTGTGGTGGCCTGGTTTAGATAAAGATATTGAGGCTAAGGTGCATGCATGCCACCTGTGCCAACGATCTCGCCCAGAGATGCCCCAAGCTCCCGTGCATAGATGGGAGGAAACACAGTCCCCATGGTCTAGGGTGCACATTGACTACGCTGGACCCTTTCAGGGCCAGTTCTTCTTGGTCCTTGTTGACAGCCATTCGAAATGGCTTGAGGTTGTACCTGTCTCATCCACCACCACTGCAAAGACTATTCAGGTACTGAGGGGGATTTTTGCTGCACACGGGCTGCCAGATGTCATTGTGTCCGACAACGGCCCTCAATTCACTTCCTCCGAATTCCAAGCTTTCTTACAGGCAAACATGATTCGTCATGCCACGTCTGCACCCTTCCACCCGTCCACCAACGGTATGGCTGAACGTATGGTGCGCATCACAAAGGACGCATTGAAAAGACTCACCTACGGGGACTGGCATCACAGGTTGGCTGACTTTCTCCTTTCTTATCGCACCACACCGTCCACTTCTACAGGGAGAAGTCCAGCTGAACTTCGTTGGGGGCGCCAACTTACTACTAGACTTGACCGGTTGCATCCGGACAGACTGCCTTCATCTACCTCACATCCTAGGGCACCTAGACAACTACTTGTGGGTGCCCCGGTTTGGGCTCGCAATTACGGGCCTGGTCATACATGGGTCCCCGCTTCTATTTCCAGGGTCACAGGTCCTCTCTCCTACGAGGTAGCCCTGGACAACGGTCGTGTCCTGCGTCGGCACATCGACCAACTCCGCCCTCGGCGGGACTTTTCAGATGAGACTCCTGGGTCTTTTCCAGGGGGGGAGGGGGACCCTTTGGAGCAAAGGGAAGGGCACGAGCCCATCTCCACTGCCAAATGGCCCATCCCAGGGTTCCGCGAGAGCTCCAAACAAGAATTCTATGAGCCTACCTAATTACCAGGCATCCACGCCTACTCCAGCCAGGGAGTCATCCCGGGGGCATACTCACTTTCCACACACATCACACAGCACTCCAGTCACGGAGGATACCCGGGGGCATCCCAACAAATCATTCCCCGCAAGAGAGCTGGCACACAATCCCCAAGGTTGGCCTGACCTTACCCCAAATTCTACAGGGGGTCAAACATACAGGGAGGTGGTCGAGGAACCAAGTCCCGACTACAACACCTCTAGCCCAAATCAGGGAGTAACTGAGTTTTGGGAAAGTACAGAAACCCACACAAGCCCAGACACAGAACGGGGTTCAGGGAATGGACAGCCTCCTGACAGGTCTTGGATGGACCTAGGAGGTTCAACAGAGACGCCCAGCAGTGGCTATCACTTCAAGGGGCCCGAGGGTCTACAGCTAGGCAGGTCAACCAGGTCACAAAGTGACAGAAGCCCTGGCCTGACGAGCCCGGTGGGCGAGCAAGCAGGCCAGGCAGCGGGGCACAGTCCTTGGAAGGCACCAAGGCAAAATAAGGAGAACAGGCTCACATCTCCCTCCAGTCAGGGAACTCATGCTAGTAACCCAGAGCTGAGAAGGTCACAGAGAGCAAAGAAGTCTCCTAAATACTTAGAGGATTACATAACATTGCTGGCTAAACAAAAGCCAGGTAACGATAGGAGCACTGAGAAGCAGAACACTGCATAAAATAAATGATTATATGTTGGTAGTAGTTTTAGCCCGGGGGAAAGGGGTGTTATGTCCCGAGCCTTGCAAACGGCTCGGGCGTTTGCAGGCAGTCCCGGGCAGGTGCAAAGCTGCCCGGGACCAGACAGGCTGTCGCCAGCGCCGTGCGCATGCGCGGGTGCTGGCGCGGGAAAAGTATCGCATTTACCCGGGAAATGTCTATATAAGAAGTTGGGAGGTTTTGGGAGCTGCTGAAGCCATCTACTTGTAAGCTGAACGCAGAATAAAGAAAACTGAGAATTTCAACTGCTTCTCGTGTCTGCTTCCCGCCACGGACTCAACAGTTACATCTGCAACCAATTAATTAATTATTTTTGTCAGTTTGAAAAATTAGCTAAAAGTAAAGCTGAAGACAGATGACAGAATTAGATATTTGGCCTTAGATACTTCAGTTTGTTCACAATTTTACAAAAAGAGCTGAGTCAAGCTATTTTCCAAATCGCTTGAAGACAGGACAAGAAGCATCAGGTGGAAACTAACCAAAGAGAGAAGCAACCTAGAACTAAGGAGAAACTTCCTGACAGTTAGAACAATTAACCAGTGGAACAACCTGCCTCCAGAAGCGGTGAATGCTCCAACACTGGAAATTTTTAAGAAGAGACTGGACAGCCATTTGTCCGAAACGGTATAGGGTTACATGCCTGAGCAGGGGGTTGGACTTGATGACCTCCAAGGTGCCTTCCAACTTTATTATTATTATTATTAAAAACAGGAAAAAACAGTAATAATCATTGCATAGAAATTTTGCCTCTAGACATTGAATCTTCGGTTTCATTTTCTGAACTAATATTACTATTAGCAATTTCTGGTTTTGCTAAACCTGAAATTTCATTTTTAACCTTTTAATACAGGGGTGTCAAACTGCCGGCCCACAGGCCAGAGGCATCATGGCGAAACCACGCCCATCCCATTGCCGGCAATGGAAAAAAAGTTGCGATACATTGCGACACGTCACGTGATGTTGCGAGTTTGATACCCCTGTTTTAATAGATTTCTAATTTTGACAAGTAAAATTTTGTTCAGATTCATACAAGCTTCTTTGTTCTTTCACATATCTGAGCACAAAATTTCTATACACAGGTAGTCCTTGACTTACAACTGTAATGAACCTGCCCATTACAATTATATGTCATGACAAGTCATAAAGAAAATTATCTCTGGATTTTAATCTTTTTTGCAGTGGTCATTTTTGCAGCAGTTGTAAAGAAAACGCCACAATCATTAAGTGAACACGTTAGCTATGGGACATTTTTGGTGAAACCAGAAGTAAACACCAGTTTTTGGTCAAAACATCATAAATCGCGGTCACATGACTGTGAGATGCTGCAAACGGCCATAAATGCAGACTGGTTGCTGAGCACTCCAAATTCAATCACGAGACAACGGGAGGGAGGGAGGGCATAGGAATTTCAGAATTTGGTCATAATCATCTTTTGGGGGGTCTGTCATAACTTCATACAGTGCTAAGGGACTGGTCAGAAGTTGAAAACCACCTGTACTGACAGCTGGAATAGTGAATGGTCTTCCATCGCTCAGAGTTGGTTAAAAGATGGACAGTATGATTTAAATAAATAAAAATAAATGACAAGTTATTCTAACGGAAGAGATTTTTCCAGGTGTACTTTTTTTTTAGTCAACAAACAAAGCACAAGAGAAAGGAGGGCGACTGCTTTCACCAGTTTTTCCCAGGTGTTTTTCTGAATCTTCATATCTCTAGTCTGTAATTGTTGTAGCTCCCAATTGCCATTCTATGTTTTAAGCAACAGTTAGAACAGAATTAGGAATGAGCACGGTTACTTTCTACCTTTTTCTAGTGGTTCTTCAGAGTGAGAGAATAAATACCATCAATACACAGAGACAGACGCCGCTCAATAATTGTTTGTTTCTTCTTAGGGCTTCTCGGGAGGAACAAGCGATTCAAATGAAGAAATCATCATTTTGGAAAATGTAGGTCCTGCATTTGATATACTGCAGTAGTGAAATCTAGCTGTTTCAGGATTCTCCTGTGGAGTGTCCAACACAGGATATACAGTTTGGCAGCCTGAGCTTCATATTTTCTTTTTCTTTTGAAACAAAGACCATTTCTTGGTCTCCTGGGTGCAAGCATTAACTTGAAATTATGTGGGAGGACAAGTAATATTTCAGAAGCAGTAGCTAATGATTTTTAGCTGGGCAGCCCCAACTGCTACGATTGCTAGGAGCAGAAAGGGAACGAAACTTTGCAGGCAAATGGTTTCTGTGCTTCTGTTTGTTTGTTCAGGTCACTGAGGTCTTCTGCCCTTAGTGCAGGAAACTATTAGGACTTGCTTTCAGATTTTTGCTTCTTTTTTTAGGATGGACCCTTTGCCCTTCTCTTTCTTCTAACCATATTGGTTTTCCTCCACTCTGGCAGTTTTGATCGTCTGTTCAGCCCATCAGATGCTCTTGAGAGCGCTGTGGCCTCTCCTCTACCACCGGGGAGGTCCCGGCCTAGCCGCCACAGCCAAAGAGATTCAGGACGGAACACACTGAGATTCATCCCACGAGCAATCTCACCCTCTGAGTAAGTTTACAAGACTGTAAACCCAAATTCTTAATTCTTCCTATCAGGAATCCTTGGGAATATAATGCAAGTGTGTTTGACTATGTTTTTACCACTAATCTGCTTTTCTCAGATTTGATTGTGCTGTTTGCTCAAAGTTTGGGTATTTTTCCTTTGGGATACAGGTAGTCCTCGACTTAACAATAGTTCATTTAATGACCGTTCAAAATTACAACAGCACTGAAAAAAAGTGACTTATGACCATTTTTCACACTTACAGCCACTGCAGTATTCCCATAATCGTGTGATCAAAATTTGGACGCTTGGCAACTGGCTCACATTTATGATGGTTGCAGGTGATGACAGGATCAGGTGATCACTTTTTGTGATTTCCTGACAAGCAAAATCAATGGGAAAAGCAGATTCACTTAACAACCATGATACTAACTCTATAACTGCAGTGATTCACTTAACAACTGTGGCACAAAAAATTATAAAATGGGGCAAAATTCACTTAAATGTTTCACTAAGCAACAAAAATTCTGGGCTCAGTTGCGGTCCTAAGTCAAGGACTATCTGTATTTTTCTTTCTCGCCTGTTAATCTAAAAATCTTTTTTTCACTTCATCTGGGAGTGATGCTTTGAGACTTTATGCAGACACGCACCTTCTCCCAGAATACTACAAACTTACCTGTTTGTGATGGAATGGATTGTTTGTCCATTTAACACAGGGCTGATGGCTCCCCACAGCAGAAGCGGCGAGAACTGTATGGTGAGATCCGCTCACACATCTGGCAGGAACATGGTCGGGCACAGATCCATGGATGGAGCCAGCCACGTTCATTTCAGGTAAGGATTTTTGGCATGCACACCAGAATCACATGCTTTGAGGTTACCCTACTTACATAAATCCCATGTTGTGCACTAGTTCTCTTGAATTAATGCTTTTAATGTGAACTTATCTAGCAAAACACACATTATAATTTTTATCTATCTATGTAATGCTGTACTAAAATTCTCATTCCCATAACCTTTAACTGGACGAAATGGTGCATCATAGGGCAGCAATTTTTTTACCAAGCTATCTCAGATGGGCTAACTCAGAGAATGTGTCCCAAATCTGGGACCCAGGACTCTGTGGAATTGAAATTTGGCAAATTTTATAAAACATTTTATGACATAAACATTGTCCTAAAACGATTTATGACATTATACAAAATGTCATAAAACATTTCTTATGCTGATGTTTGACTGTGTTACAGCGTTTAACATGGGCTATTTTTAAGGCAGATACATCTCTGAATATAGGCAGCACATTAGAAGTTTTGTCACTGTTAAAGACAGAGGAATCTAATAACACTTCTGAAAGGATGACCCAGTGGGTCATGAGTTGTCCAGTTATTATTTAAATTTACATGCAGCCCACCTCTCAGAAGCTCTGAGGGGTTACAGTTTACATATTTTTTTAAAAAAAAGATAAAAATGAAGAATTAAAAACAGCAAAAATGACAAAATTAAATGGGAACAAAACAAAAAAAACCTCCAAAACCCACCCAAACAAAAGAGAGCTTCAGTCACCCTCACCAAAGACTTGGGAGAAAAGTACTATCGTGTACAGACAGTCCTCAACTTATGACTACAACTGAGCCCAAAATTTCCGTTGTTGTTAAGTGAATTTGTTAACTGTTGTTAACAATTAAGTGAATTTTGTCCCATTTTAAGACCTTTCTTACTACAGTAGTTGAATGACTCACCACAGTTGTTAGTAACACAGCTGTTAAATGAATTTGACTTCCCATTGACTTTGCCTGTCAGAAGTTCACAAAAGATGATCACATGACCCCGGGACACGGCAACCGTCATAAATACATGCCAGTTGCCAAGTGTCTGAATTTTGATCATGTGATTGTGGGGATGCTTTAATGGTCATAAATGTGGGAAATGGTCATAAGTCACTTTTTTCATTGCCATTGTAACTTTGAACACTCAATAAATGAATGGTTTTAAGTCGGGGACTTACCTGTACGTGTTTTATCACTCCTGAAATGGGCAATGGAGTGGGAGATGCAGCCCTGGCATTTGATTCTCTGAATTATAGGTAGCCGAGTTACAACTATAACGGAGTTGTAATGATTTTACGGCCCTTTTTGTGGTGGTTGTTAAGGAAATCATACTGGGTGTTAAATAAATCTGCACTGCAATCATTAAGTGAACCACTATGGTGTGGTTTTGCTGAAAACCAGAAGTAAGTGCCAGTTTTCATCAAAACTATCATAAAACACAGTCAAATAACCACTGGACACTGCCAACAACCGTAGATGTGTGGATGACCGTGCCCAAAATGTGGTCATGTGACCATGGGACAGGGGCAAATGTTGGAGCTTTAAATCTGAGTCCCCTTTTTCAAGACAGTCGTAACTTTAAACCATCACTAAGCAATCAGTCATATGTCAAAAGCTATCTGTAACTGAGGGTCTGGTGGAGAGCAATGGTGTCTTAGCTTTTTAACATTTTCTTACCCAGTAAAAATGGTTCTATCCCCAGTTGAGACCTATTCACATTTCAGACTTGAATTTCCACTTGTTAAAATGGGGTTACTGTTTTGCTACAGGGCCTGGACCCACCTGCCGGAATTACTCAGGTACCTGTACTTGTGCAGCTGAGAATGCTGGAGCAGAAGGACCCCAGTACCAAGGTGATGAAGCAAGCTATCTCCATCTCATGAACAGTTGAGGGCTGTTTTGTGTTGTTTTTTCCCAGATTAAAAAGTAATGCAAAATCGAGTAAATCTTAATAGAACTATTGTGAGTCATTGTGGTAGCCTGCAGATAAAAGAGATTTGTGGTAAAGGCAGTAGGAATAAAACTAGGGGAACCAGAGCAGAGGCCATTGCAGAGAAATTGGACGTGGTCAGTGTGTGATGTGTATGTGCTACAATTGGTTTGGATGAGGCAGTCACATCTGATTCTGGAGAATTGTAACCCCAGTCAAGATGGAGTAGAAAGAGGCAAAATGGAACAGAGATTCTGAGCAGTCCCCTGTGCGCTCAGAGGAAACTTTTAATTTCTCTGGTGCCTCTCTTGGATAATCTGCTTTGGGAATTCCAGTTGCAAACACCTTTTTTAATTTGTTTTTTTAATATTTTTTTAAAATATAGAATAAAAACTAAGCCATTTTTTGTTGTTTTTAGTTATGACAAGGTCTAATACAGTCATTGACTTATGAGCGTAGTTGGGGGCCAGAATTTCTGTCTCTAAGCAAGATGGTTGTTGAGATAGTTGTGCCCGATTTTCCAACCTTTTTGCCCTGGTTGTTAAGGGAATTGTGTGGTTCTTAAGCGTATCTGGCATCCTCCATTGAATTTGCTTGTCAGAAGCCAGCTGGAAAGGTTACAAATGGTGATCACATAATCCGTTATGATAACCATCACAAATACATGCCAGTTACCAAGCACCCAGATTTTGATCTTGTGTCTGTGGGGATGCTGTGATGGTCATAAATGTAAACTCCAGTTATAAGTCACCTTGGGCCGTTGTCAAGCAGTCAATCTGGCCAGCTCAGCAAGTTTTATCCATTTGTCCATTGTAGGTAAACCCAGATCTTTTCACCTTGTTCATATACTGCATTTACACCCTCACTGCAGTTACAGCCAACATTTCTGAGTGTATGTCAATTAAAAATTTGTGGATGGATGTCAAGATCATGCTTGTCTCTCTCTTATTGCAGCTCTGGTGTGCTGCAGCATCTGTTGGGCCGGAGCCTCGAGAAACACCACAGATTGTAAGCACTGCTCCCTCGCAAATTTCCAGAAACCAGTCCCTTGTCTGCTTGGGATTTCTTTAACCTGACCTTCTGTTTTGAGTTAATTGAATCTTAAATACAGCTTTCCCTGAATTGCCTGGGTGTGTTGGAAGCACAATTCCCAGAATTCCCTAACTATTATGGTGGCAGAGAATTATGGGGATGATGAGAGATGTTCTTCTAACATATCTGGAATGGGGCCAAGATGGAGAGTACAACTCTATTATTAGATGGTATACAAGTAGTCCTCAATTTAGGACCACAATTGAGCCCAACATTTCTGTTGCTAAGTGAGATGGTTGTTAAGTGAGCTTTGCCCCATTTGACAACCTTTCTTGCCACAGTTGTTAAGTGAATCACTGAAGTTGTTAAGTTAGTTCAGGTAGTTCTCGACTTATGACCAAATTGAGCCCAAAATTTCTATTGTTAAGTGAGACATTTGTTAAATGAGTTTTGCCCCATTTTACGACCTTTCTGGTCACAGTTGTGAATCACCACAGTTGATGAGTTAGTAACATAGTTGTTAAGTGAATCTGGCTACCCCATTGGTTTTGCTTGTCAAAAGGTTGCAAAAAGTAATCATGTGATCTTGGGACACAGCAACGGTCATAAATATTAGTCAGTTGCCAAGCATCTAAATTTTGATCCCGTGATCATGGGGATGCTACAAAGATCATAAGTGTGAAAAACAGTCATAAATCACTTTCTAGTGCCACTGTAACTTTGAATGGTCACTAAATGAACTGTTGTAAGTTGAGGACTTATAACACAATTATAAAGTGAATCTTTCCCCATTGATTTTGCTTGTCTGACGGTCGCAAAATCTGATCACATGACTCCTGGACACAACGACTGTTATAAATATGAGTCAATTGCCAATTGATCATGTGAATTTGAATTTTGATCATGTGACCATGGGGATGCTGCAAGGGTCATAAGTGTGAAAAATGGTCATAAGTCACTCACAAAAGGTTGTAAGTCAAGGACTACCTGTAAATCCTTACTATTGGACAATTCAGGCCTTGAAAAGTTACATTCTCAGGGGATATTTATTATATTTACCTGAGCAAGTGCATCTTGTGGCACAGAAGACCCAAATGATGGCTGTACAGTTAGAAAAAAAAATGTTGGTGCAAGATTTCCCGCCATCTTATCTAAGATTTCAGATTAGGAGTTGCAGGTGGCACCGTACCTGGCTTGAAGATGGGAAGATGGGTTTATGAGTGCCTGCCTTTTCCTGACCCTTCTCTTCATTTCCTTTCAGGATACCCCCCATGGCAGCTCTTCCGGCAGCTCTCAGCTGTGGGTGGCTGCTGGGACCCACTCCGCCAGCGAAGTGACCCTCTTCAATGCTCCCAATACTAACCAGCTCCTGGAACACTTTGTGCTGCCTGGAATTCACATCCTCTCCATGGCTTGTGTTCCTGGTTAGTGAGATGAATTGGGAGGTGGGAATTGAGAAATTGTCTAAAGAAGCAGGGAGAACAGTACAGGATTCTGTGTTCCCAAATGCCCAGGAGTGAGACACTTTCAGTGAGGTCAGGGTAAATGGAGTCAAAACTTTCAGCCATTTTTTTTTTATAAAGAATTTGGGGAGTAGGATTTAATGGAAAAATTGACCTGATTTGTGGGGTGTGAAAGGAATTTAAGGGACACAATGGGTATCAGCCTATTAAAAATCTTTTTTCTTGCCATTTCCAATTCAGATTTTGAGTCTACCTAACTGGGTTTTTTTTAGGGGCTGCAGTTTAACCTGAGTAGTACACATGTCTTGAGTAGGAATCAATCTTCCAAGGAAGGTTCTCTCCAGTATTTGTTCTCTGGATTTTCACAGTTAATTCAATTAATTGCAAACTCATTCTCTGGATTTTCACAATTAATTGAATTATTAACTAACTAAATGGGATGGGTTTGGAAACACGCTAAGCCAAACCAAGATTAAAATAAACTATAAACTTTGTGTATTATACAAATGAGTCAGTTGGCCTTGAGGTGATCTGGCGGAATCTGTCATGCAAATTCAGCCGGAGTAAATTGGGCACAATCTATTGTAATTTTCAGTTCTTTTACGTGGTACAATAATTGGATGGGCATATTTGTGTTGGTTGTTTGGCTTGGAGATATGAGTTTAGAGTAGTTTTGAGTTTCAAATCTCAGTATAACCTATTTGGGAAGAAAACTGTAGCTCAGCTATGGAGCCTGAAAACTCAAAGAACTGCTTTTAATCTATATAGACACCACTTGCCACATGTACTTGGTGTAAGACGGGCTCTATATCAAAAGTGTCTAAAGTTTTCTTCCAGATTTTTTCTAGATCAGGGGTCTTCAAACTTGGCCCTTTTATTACTTGTGGACTTCAACTCCCAGAATTCCTCGGCCAGCGTGCCTGGCTGAGGAATTCTGGGAGTTGAAGTCCACAAGTCATAAAAGGGCCAGGTCTGAAGACCTCTGTTCTCGACTGAGTCTTTCATCTTCAGTGCTTTTTGGATTGTTGATGTTTATTCTCAAACTTAGACATATCTACATGTCTCTGAAAAAAAGAAGCCTAGAGCTGAAATCCACCCACCTTAAAGTTGCTGAGGTTGGGAAACACCGGCCTATTTGCTTTGAAGGAATTTCGGACTAGCTGTGAGATTTCAAAGCGAGATGTCCCAATGTGTTCTGGGTTCCTGATAGATAAGTGTTCCTTTCCCTAATGTTGCTTTCCTTCTTCTTCTTTAGGCCTGGCAGCACTTGTTGGTGAAAAGCCATTGGTAGGGCCAGAGATCCTTGAAGACCCTTTGGCACCCCGATCTGACAGTGATGAAGAAGCAAGGGAAATGGAGGCAGTTGGCAGAGAACCTACTGTCTGGATTGGGACCCAGGAAGGCTGGTAATGGAGATTGAAGTGGGGAAGAAATGAATGCGTCTGATATAATACGCCACTCCTGTCTATGTTGAGTTGCTTCAGGCAGCATCTGGCTCTTCCTGCCCTCCTTCTTTCTTCCTACCATTTTCTTCTTGTTGTTACTGTTACACTGTGATTCTACCTGCCATCTTGAGGATGGAGGTGTCATTCTGGGGAGAACGTAAAGGTCACCTGCTTTCACAAATGATCCTTGATTTATGGCCACAATTGGGACTGGAACCTCCATTACTAAGTGATATGGTCATTAACTGAGTCCCACTATTACTGCAGTCTTTAAATCACCATGGTCATTAAATAGATCATGTGTTTCATTGTGTGAATCTGGCTTCCTTCATTGACTTTACTTGTCAGAAGCCCTTCGGGAAGCTCACCTGGTTGTAAATTTTCAGTGCCATTGTAACTTTGAATGATGGGTAAATGAATGGTCATAAGTCAAGGACCGCCTGCACACTGAATATACCCCATATTGGAAAAGAACTTTGATAGCAGAGACTTTAATGCTGTCTCCCAAATACAAATATTTAATGAATGGAGGAGGATGCGATGGCTCAGTGGTTAAAGATGCTGAGCTTGTCAACTAGAAAGCTGAAAGCCCAGGTTCAAAATCTGAGTGCTGTGCAATGGGGTGAGTCCCAGCTCCTGCCCACCTAGCAGTTTGAAAGCTTACAAATGTGAGTAGATAAATAGGTACCACTTCAGTGGGAAGGTAACAGCATTCCATGCGCCTCAGCATGTAGTCATGCTGGCCAAATGCCCATGGAATCATCTTCAGACTATACTAGTTCCCTTGGCTAAGAAATGGAGTTGAGCACCGTCCCCTAGACTAGAGCAGGGGTCCTCAACCTTGGAGACTTAAAAAGACATGTGGACTTCAACTCCCAGCAAAGTTGGCTGAGGAATTCTGGGAATTGAAGTCCACAAGTCTTAAAGTTGCCAAGGTTGAGGACCCCTGCCCTAGAGTCAAACACAAATGGACAGGGGAAACCTTTACCTTTAACGAATGGGAATCTAGAAGTCCTGGCTGAAAGTGGTACTGTGCTAGTGGCAGAGTTGGGTGGAGGGGTCTAATAATTCTGTTGCATATTCCTCTTCTTTTTGCTATTTCTTTCTGTTTTACAGTATCTACATTCATTCTGCTGTGACCGACTGGCGACGTTGCCAAGGCAAAGCACGTTTGAAGGAAGCCGTCCATTGTATTGTGTGAGTATGCAAGTCTTGCCCAATGGCTGAAAGCTGAGTATCCTCGGTGGAAATTGCCTGCCTTCCCATTATAGTGCTAGTAAAACATGCCTTTGTGTTATTTTTGCCCTATATGTTCCAGGCATACCCAATGCCGCGTTGTAGCTGCCCTTGCTGATGGCTCTCTGGCTATATTCCATCGGAACGCAGGTAGGTCCTGCTGCTTATATTCCTTCCCTCCCCATTTCCCCAATGGTTGAGACTTTCTCCTTAATTTCTTGATGAGAGAGAATGCATAGAGGCTAAGAAACTGACAGAAGGATAAATAGTCCTAAATGCATAGAGGCTAGGAAACTGACAGAAGGATAAATAGTCATAAATAATCAAAAGACATAATGTGAGTCAATTGACAGCCTATCTTACTATTGCAACAGCAGTGAAGCCGAGGTAGCAAGAAATCGGGGAAGAAGCATTTCCAAGAGATTCTGCCTTAACAAACTCATTGTAAACGAGGATTAGAAATTCTTGCAGGTTCCAAGATTCTATAGTTACCCAAAGACTAGCATTAAAGATACCTTACTGAAGTCTGTGTAGATGTTGCTTCCTTGATTTTGCCCACTTATGTGGGACTTAACACTTATTTTATTTACTTATTTATTAAACTTATATGCTGCCCATCTCACAGTTCAAGGTGACTTTGGGCAGCTTACAATATAATAACTCAGTCTTTTCTTAGATCGCAACTGGGATCTGCACTCCCCACGCCTGGTTGAATTGGGAAGGCCACGGCGCTCCATTCGTTGCATCATCCCTGTGTTTAATTGGCTCTGGTGTGGTTATGGAAATCGAATCTACCTGTTGGATCCTCGAACCGCTCGCATTCAGGTGAGCTTGCTGAGACATGAGGCCATTACTGGAAGCTGTGGAAACCAAGAAGTTGTACAGTGGAAAACTCAGATGGGGCTGGAACAGATTGAGGTCACAGGAATCCACTACATCCACTGTCACCGTTCCGACAGATGAAACTCTTCAAAAGAACTTCGAGGCATTGTTTACCTTAAAGAATCTTTTATTCAAGTAGCATAATATCGACACTCTGTAATCAAAGCCAAAAACTGAATTCCCCTCCCCTGGGCACATAACATCAAAGCACAATTCCCTCCTCCAATTAACAGTCATAAATCACATTCCCCAATTAGCTTGAAGCTCGGGCTTCCTCTCCAGTTCTCCAGCCCGCCAATTCTTTATCAGCTCTGGGCTCAATAACCTTGATTCTTAGCTAGAGGTAAACTCTCATTCACATTCGCCCCCCCCCCCCCCAGCATCATCTAACTCTAAAAGTGAAAGGGAAAAAGATGGCTACATTTCCATCTGTTGTCAATGCGAAACATCCAATGTTAGCAGCATTGACATCCACATTCTTAGTAGAATTGTGATCACATGAGCATGGGGATGCTGCAGCGGTCATAAATGTGAAAAACAGTTATAAGTCACTTTTTTCAGTGGCTTTATAACTTTGAAGGGTCACTAAACTGACTGATTGTAAGCTGAGGACTACCTGTGTTCAAAAGAGTCCTTGCCCAACCAACAGGCCAAAGACTCCCTGCATCCACGCCAGAGAAAATTGGCATGCCTGTTGTTTGGATCTTGCTCCCTGCCACCAATTTCTTTTCCTTCCTTCCAGCGATACTTTGAAGTGACTTCACACCCTGAAAGCCATGTCCGGCACATGGCAGCAGCTAGTGGTGGCATCTGGGTTTCAGTCCGTCTGGAGACCACTCTGCGCCTTCTCCACGCAGAGACAGGGCAGCCACTGCAGGAAGTGGAACTGGAGCCCTTCATCAGCCACACATTTGGTGAGTGGCTATAGGAAAAGGAAAGACAGAATCTGAGGGTGGAGTTAAAAGAGGGATCAGCCTAGAATCTCTATGTAGCCATAAGTGAACTAAGTCCAACTTCCCTATAATTCCATTGACCCTTATCTAACTCCAAACAGGTGATTAATGCTAGTTGAGAAGATTCCTATACATAGGCATGATTAGCAAGAAATCAGTTTAATTGGACCTTCAGGTGGACTTGTTCTTTTGTATCTGACTGTGTCAGGAACCAGAGGGCACCAAGAGGCAGGATCTTGGATACTGCAGAACATGCTGGCTGGGGAATTCTGGGAGTTGAAGTCCACACCTGTTATAGTTGAGGTTGAGAAACTCTGTGAAAGGGTGGGAAGGAGTAAATTAGGCAGGACATGATCTGCAAGCTGCTCTGGTTGCTAGTAGAATATGCAACAATGGAGGGTTGTTGAAGGATTAGAATTTTTACAGAAAGCTCCTTCACTATTGTGGACTCCATTTCTCAGATCATCTGTTGTAGATGGAATTCCTGGACCAGGATTAGGTCATTTGAATGTCACAGAAGGACAGCTCCCATCATTTCTTCTTGCGGCCCACAATGACTGGGGCTGTTGGAAATTATAATTTAGCAATACTTGGAGAGGCACAAGTTGCCTATATCAGAAGTCCCCAACCTTTTGGGCACCAGGGACCAGTTATGCGGAGAGAGATTTTTCCGCGGACCAGAGGGAATGTGGTTTTGTGTGCTGCCTGCATCCCGCGGATGTGGCTTTGCTTGTTTGTGCAGCCCGGTTGCTGGCATGCCACGGCCCAGTACCAATCCATGGACCGGGGTTGGGGACCTCTGGCCTATATCCATTCTTGTCATAAATCATGTGTGGATCTAGACAGGAGATCTGTTTTGAGATGTCCAGAGTTATTGGAATCAGATGGCACATAAATGTAAAAGAAGATGAAGATGGAGGGGGAGGGGGAGGAGGAGGAGAAAAGAAAGAAAAAAAGAAAGAGAGAGAGAGAGAAAGAAAGAGAAAGAAAGAAAGAAAGAAAGAAAGAAAGAAAGAAAGAAAGAAAGAAAGAAAGAAAGAAAGAAAGAAAGAAAGAAAGAAAGAAGAACCTTGAATGGCCTTCTCCAACTTGATGCTCAGGTTGGGGTGCACCACCTCCAGAATTCCCAGTCATCATAACGTGCCTCAGCATCTCTGAGCATTCCTTGGTGCTGTCTGCACTTGGTTGTTTGTTTGCAGTTATTTCATTAACCAAACTAGGTAACATCCTCAATGCTAGTCTGTCAAATATATACAAGTTCACCCTTGCTTTCTCTTCCTCATCCTCCAGGGCCCAGCAGTGTTAGTTTAGCCTTGAACATCTCAGCTCTTGGTGCTTTCGGAAAGCGGTTGTGGGTTGGCACATCCGGTGGCACCATTATATCTATGCCTTTTGTCTCCGGTAAGCAAATACGTCTCCTTCTGATTGTGGGGGAAATTCATAGCTGGGCTGTTTAATTCTGAGATGGTTTTTCCTGTTTCCTTGCAGAATTTTCCGAAAGCTTGAAGACTTCTCCCTCTTCTGCTATCCCTTATTGTGCTATGGAGCAAGCCCAGATCAGCTACCATGGGCACCGTGATGCTGTCCGTTTCTTTGTCTCTGTCCCAGGTAGTCTGCAAGAAACATTGGAAAACCATTTCTTGATTTTTCTGTCCATGACAGTTTAGCAAAATATGACAAGTTTCTTCCCTGAGATGTTTACAGATTTTCCTGGCGTGGGAGAAATAACAGAGGAGGAGGAAGGAAGCGGGGGTTGTGATAAACAAGGCACTCATGTCAGCATCTTGGCTGGGAATTTTTGGAAGTTGAGACCAAGCGTAGACAGAAAATGCTAAATTCAGTGAGATTGGATCCATGTATTTTTAAAGTTTAAATCAACAATATAGATATATCCCTTTACCCCCAAATAGAACAGAACCTTTAAAATAATAGCTGTGTTTAAAATGGACTGAGTGAAACTTCAGTGGTTGACTGATATAATGTCTTGCCTTGCAGGGCAGTGGGTTGTGTCTTTAATCCGTGTGAGCAAAGGGTATAGATCAGGGGTAGTCAAACTTGGCTCTTTAATGACTCGTGGACTTCAATTCCCAGAATTCCTCAGCCAGCTACTGGCTGAGGAATTCTGGGAATTGAAATCCATGAGTCATAAAAGAGCCAAGGTTGACTACCCCTGGTGTAGATTCTGTGCCAAGAAAACCTGGCTTTTGTGCCATTGAATAAGGGCTGCATCCTGATTTTCTACAATTCTGATTCACGGCTGGGGCAGCAAAAAATAGGATTCTAAACTGCAGCTTCTGTCAATTTGCTTTCTTTTCTTTTTTTGTGGACCATGTTCTTGATTTGTTAATTTTTGGCACCTCTGTGGCCATATATTTAACGAATGGCCAGATTGGCAGAGGCAACCAGAAAGTCCATATTGATTAATTTGTAGGCAGTTTACCTTTTTTTTTTTTTTTTTGCCTTCTGCTTGGAAGAAATCTAATTTGCCTCATGGTGAATAGCATGCATTTCCACGCTGGTTGCAGAGGTTACCCTCTACTGGGACCCTATGAAAGTGCAAGTTAATACTATATTTTTCTGGCTAATAATGTTTAATGGCCTTATTTATCAAATAGTTTTGATATACTACCTTCATTAGCTTTTATTCCAGGGGTTATTCACAATACAAGTAAAAAAAAAACTAAAAAAGCTAAAATCAATAAAACATCTAACCTAAATAACAATTAGAAGGAGCAGGGTGAAGCAATTCATTTTCAGTTTAGGTTGTAGTTCCCCTCATTGCCTAAAATGCCACTCATTAAAATAAATAGGGGGGAAAAATAAGTTAGCCAAAGCTTTAAAAGACAAGGCTAAGTGGATGCCTTATTTATTTATTTGATCATACACCGAAAGACAATTTATCCTATCATACAGCAAAAAGACAGTTTTAATAAAAGAAAGATGTAGGTACCATAGATCATATAAATAGAGAAAACTTCAGGTAAAGAAATAGTAATAAAGAAAATAATATTAAAAGTAATAAAGAAAATAGCAAAAATGACTAGAAAGGAGAATAGGAAAGGAAGGGCATATATGGATGGGTCTAATCCAGTGTTTCTCAATCTTAGAAAATTTAAGATGGACTTCAGTTTCCAGAATTCTGGGAGTTGAAGCCCATACATCTTAAAGTTACCAAGGTTGAAAAACACAAGCCTAAACTAGCAAGGATATCTAGAGCTGCATCGTAAGCCATTCCCTTTTTTTTCACAAAAAAATTAATTAGATTTTAAAAAAGGTATAAACTTTAGAAAAGGCATAGAAAAAACAATTAAAAAGAAAGAGGGAAGGATAGGGAAAAAGCAAATTTGGGCAATGCAGACAAAAGGGGGCAGAAAGCTTTAGAAAAGAATAACTTCTGACTTTCTTTGGTAGATACAAATAATGAAATACAATAACCTTTTGAAATAGGGTAAATCATAGCACACTGTATTTCTCAAGTTGTAAACAGGTCTAGTCATCACATCCCAAGGTTAAAGTTCTGTTTCTGTCAGTTTCAAGCAAAATATCCAAGAATGGTTTCCAAACAGAAATAAAAGTAGAATACAATCTTTTCTTTAATCAACCCATTCAATTTTGCCCTGTCCACCAACTTCATTAATTTCACCATTCATTCGTTCATTGTGGGTACTGCATAGGTGAATCCTTTGAGGTCTGTGCTTAGAATAACCTTGTGACTGTTATCATTTATTGTAACTTTGCTCTTATATATGACAACGACAGCAACAAGAAGATCAAAAGCCATTCTTCTCAGATCTGTCTTCCTCTACTTCTACCTACAGGTGGTCCTTGACTTATGACCACTATTGAGCCCAAAATATCTGTTGCCAAGCTAGACAGCTGTTAAGTGAATTTTGCCCCATTTTACCACCTTTCTTGCTACAGCTGTTAAGTGAATCACTGCAGTTGTTAAGTTAGTGATGCGGTTGCTTCCCCCTTGATTTTTTTTTTGTCAGAAGGTCACAAAAGGTCATCGCATGACCCTGAGACACTGCAACTGTCATAAGTATGAGTCAGCTGCCAAGCGTCTGAATTTTGATCACGTGACCATGGGGATGCTGCAATGGCCACAAGTGTGAAAAAAGGTCATAAGGCATTTTTAGTCAGTGCCGTTGCAACTTTGAATGGTCACTAAATGAGCTGTTGTAAGTCGAGGACTACCTGTACTATGGGGCAGAATTTTGTGCCTTTTGGGATGACCATACTGAATTGACCGCTCACAGAAAAGATGTTGAGACTTTGGGAACAGTACAAAGAAGAACAACTAAGATGATTAAAGGAGACTAAAACATATGAAGAATGGTTGCAGAATTTGGGTTTGGCTAGTCTAGAGAAAAGAAGGACTAAGGGGGGACATGATAGCAGTATTCCAGTATCTGAGGGGCTGCCACAAAGAGGAGGGGCCCAACTTGTTTTCCAAAGCAAGAGAGGGCAGGACAAGAAACAATGGATGAAAACTAATCTAAAACTAAGCAACCTGGAATTAAGGAGTAAGGACAATTAACCAGTGGAACAGCTTGCCTCCAGAAATCGTAGGCGCTCCACCACTGCAGATTTTTAAAAAGAGGCTAGACAGTCACTTGTCTGACATGGTATAGGTTCTCCTGCTTGAGCAGGGGCTGGACTAGAAGACCTCCAAGGTCCCTTCCAGCTTCTATTCTATTCTATTCTATTCCATTCCATTCCAATCAAGAAGAGAAGCAACCTGGAATTAAGGAGAAACTTCCCTACAGTGAGAACAATTAACCAGTGGAACAGTTTGCCTTCAAAGTTATGGGTACTTTATCACTGGAGGTTTTTAAGAAGAGACTGGACAGTCACTTGTCTGAAATGGTACAGGGTCTCCTGCTTGAGCAGGGGGTTGAACTAGAAGACCTCCAAGGTCCCTTCCAGCTCTATTTTGATTCAAAGAAAAAAAAAAACAAGATTTCAAATTGAGGCCAGTCCAAATGTCTGTTGATGGGAGAGATTTATTCTAAACACATTCTGAGGAAAGAAGAAGGTTGATTCCTCCCTCATTCTCAGGATCCAAATCCTGTCACAATGCTATTCCTATCCAGAACGGGATTTGGAAATCATTGTTATCATTTCACTTTTGGTGCTTTTGGGATTCAAATAGTTCTGATTACTTTTCATTCTAGGATACGTGGATCCCTCTGCCGCAGAAAACCTCAAGGAGTCACACAGTCAAGAGAAACTAAGCAAACCTTGCAGCTTGGTGCTAAGTGGAGGGGAAGGGTATATTAATCTCCGGATAGGTAAGCAGGGTTGGAGAAACTACAGGGGTCCAGAGGTGGCTCAGTTTCACCTCCGCCCCCCCTTGGCCAATGGCAAGAGATAGTGGGGTGCTATAATCCAGTAATTAACACATCTGGGGAGGAAACAGGATACCAATAGAAGAAAAAATTTGTAGCTCAGGGTTGAACTGTGGGGTCCTTGGTGCTCTCTGAGCTCGGTTGCTTTCTTGCAGACATTTCATTACCCAGTTAAGTAGCGTCATCAGTGCTAGAAGGAAGTGGGGTTTGCTTTCTGTTTATTTACTAGTGTTTTTCTCGGTCGGTGTTGGTGGGAATGTTCTTGGTGGTTCCTTTGGGGTAGACCTGATCTCTCCTAATGTGGCCACTGTTTTCCTCCATGTCCAGGAGACAACTCTGATAAGCACTACGGTGACCTGCTACACCCGAACCCGCGCCTCCGTCGAGCGGAGCGAAGCCACCTCATTGTCTGGCAGGTGCAGGACTGAGGTCATGATCGTGGACACTTGGGAGATGTGCTTCTGCCTGGGAGGGAATGACACAGTCGCCAGATGTTGGCACTGCCTCCCTGTCACTGTTTCCTGCTCTCTTCCCTGACTCAGGTCACCTGTCTCTGGGGTTTGCAGAGTTGAGATAAAACTTTTTTACCTTTTGAGACTGGTGGTGGGAAAAAGCCTCTGGAGCTCTGGAATCTGTTTGGTGAACAGGCTTGGTGAGAAGAACAGTTGGTATCTCCTCCAATCCTCCCTTTACTTTATATCATCCATTTCCATTCTTTCACACTGGAGTTGGGCCATTTATATATAGACTGAACTCCTTCAAATCCTGACTTTATTGCTCAAGCTGCTCTCAGTTTACAAAGAATAACAATGTACCTCTTGCTGGCCAGATGCTTGGAAGTTGATAGCCATGAATTGTTTAGTACCAATGGGGATTGAAGGCAGAGCTTCAAAATAATTGGAGCTGAAACTGCCAACAACTGGGAAATAATCTGGAAGAGAAGCAGCATCCACATTGGTTGAAGTGAAGGCCTTCTCATTCCGGATTCCTACTTGACTATGATTGAAACTGATGCTTTTCTATTTCTAGTAAGTGTGGACATTCGGGAATAGAACTGGTGAAGCCTGTTGAAGTAAGCTGCTGCATTACTTAAAGAGACCTCAAGGGGGAGCTTCCTTGTCCTTGCTCTGGAATTGCAACAGGGATTACACCAGTCCTTCTCCATCCCCTTCACCCCTTGGAGTTAACCAAATCCTGCCTGGAACTCTTTAAAGATGCATTTGCTTCAAGACCCCTCTCCCCACCCCACTTCACCCCGTTTAATTTCTCAGGGTTTCTCTATGATGTTTATTAACTCTCCAGGGACTGAGTTTTTAGAAGGAACTCAGCATCTCTCTTTGTGGGATGGTTTCATATTAAAGCTATTGTTATTCTTATTCCTGCTATGGCTGGTACTGCTGTACAACTACTACTTTTCTGATCCTCGTGCTTGTTCAGGAATTGCATTTGGAGGCTTTATCCAAGGCAGAAGATAAAATTTCTCACAAAAGACAGCTGGAGATTTCTTTGTCTAAAGCAGGGGTAGTCAACCTTGGCTCTTTTATGACTCGTGGACTTCAACTCCCAGAATTCCTGAGCCAGCTAAGCTGGCTCAGGACTTCTGGGAACTGAAGTCCACGAGTCATAAAAGAGCCAAGGTTGACTACCCCTGGTCTAAAGTATTCCTGGTAGACAGAACCATACCTCATTGCTAATTTGATTTATTCTAATGTAATGCTGCAGTAACTTGCTATTTATCCATGGAAAAATAAGCTATGAGAAATCCCAACTATTAATGTCCATCTGCATTCAAGCAGAACAATTTTATCCCATTAAAAAAACGAGTTATTTCCATTTGACTGCTGTGTAATACAGGTGGTCTAAGTTACAAGGGCACTGAAAAAAGTGACTGACAAGTGGTCCTTACCCTTAACAACATTTGCACCATCCCCGTGCTAGGTGATCAAAATTCTGGCACTTGGCCAGTATTTATGATGATTGCTGCATCCCAGAACCGCACAAATGCAACTCGTGACCTTCTCAGCTAGCTTCGAACAAGCAAAGGGAATGGGAGAAGCTGGGCTCGTTTAATGACTGCATGATACACTTAACAACTATAGTGCTTTGCTTAACAACTGTGGCAAAGAAGGTCATAAAATTGGGGGTGACTCATTTGCTTAGCAATTAAAATTCTGGTCCCAACTATGGTTATAAGTCAAGAACTATCTATATATGAGCCTCTTTATGCAAACAGTTCCGAGAATTCCTGATGCAATTATTGTATTATTTCTATGTCTACTACTAGTAGTCCTTGATTTAACAACCATTCATTTAGTAACCGTTCAAAGTTAACAGCAGCACTGAAAAAAGTGATCATAATTATGACCATTTTTCACACTTAACAACTGTTGCAGCATCCCCATGGTCACCTGATCAAAATTAGGATGCTTGGCAACTGGCATGTATTTATGGCAGTTGCAGTATCCCTGAGTCATATGATCACTTTTTGCATCATCCTGATGAGCAAAGTTAATGGGGAGGCCAGATTTACATAACAACCATGTTACTTAACAACTGTAGTGAGTCATTTAAGGACTTTGCCAAGAAAGGTTGCAAAATAGGGCAAAACTCACTTAACAACTGTCTCGCTTAGCAGCAAAAATTTGGGCTCAATTGCGGTCATAGGTCAAGGACTATCTGTAGTCTTTTTTTCAGTTTACTTCCTTCCGACAAGTCAAATCAACTTCTCAAATTCCACATTGCCTAGAAATTCTGTGAACTGAAGTTCAGACATCTGGAGGACATCAGGAAAATGCTATATTTATCCCATAGGACAGGGGTAGGCAACCTTGGCTCTTTTATGACTTGTGGACTTCAACTCTCAGAATTCCTGAGCATGCTGGCTCAGGAATTCTGGGAGTTGAAGTCCACGAGCCATAAAAGAGCCAAGGTTGCCTATCCCTGCCATAGGAGGTGCCTAAATAACCAGAGGCCCTATTTTCTTCAACAAAAATAAAAATGAAACCTCCCAATCCAGAATATCTGCAAAGGTATCAAGACATGCTAATACCATGAAAGTGCTTTAGGTTGCTAAGAGCCAATGAAATCATCTGGTGGAGATGCACTTATTTTCCAAAGCGCCAGAAAGCAAGACAAGAAACCATGGATGGAAATCAATCAAGGAGAGAAGCAACCTGGAATTAAGGAGAAACTTCATAAGAGTGAGGACAATTAACCGATTTAACGGCTTGCCTTCAGAAGTTGTGGGTGGTTCATCACTGGAGGTTTTTAATAAGAGACTGGACAAGCCACCTGTCTGATACAGTATAGGGTCTCCTGCTTGAGCAGGGGATTGGACTAGAAGACCTCCAAGGTCCCTTCCAGTTCTATTCTGTTTGATCCCTTGCTTTACAGTACATAATAAGATGCCACCACATCCCAACCCAAAACTTATAGTGGAGGATAATGACACCTACTGTAGCTGCTGCCATCATGGCATTCTTATAAACACAGACCCATGCTCATCACAATTATTTATTGTAAACTTAGACATACAGATTAAGAAAAAGTAAGAAGTCCATTGGACAGCATCTGGATCATACCCTGGATGTGAAGATCAATTTCCACCTTCTGATCCAACCTGAGATTTTTGCTATGGTACCAGCCCTGTTGGAAATGCAGCCTAATTATCCTATCATAACTCGCAAAAGATGCTGGAGCCATCTGTGGCAAGTAGGTCATCCACCTGATGAATTAAAACACTGATGAATCAAAATACGGTTAGCATGGCTGGGGAAGTCTGGGAGCTGAAGTCCATATAAATCTTGCTCAGGTTAAGATACACTGCTAAACCTTAGCTTCACCTTTCAATTGGTATATCACAGTGTTCCTCAGTCTTAACAACTTTAATTCTGGGATCTGAAGTCAATCTTAAAAGTTGAGAAACACTGATCTAGTGTTTAAATCTGTTTGAACTTATAAGGATTGAAGTCCACAAAGCTAGAAGCAAAGGAGTTTGAAGCCAGAGGCTGAGGCCAGCTTTAAACTAAAGCTAAGCAGGCAGAGGTCCTCAACCCCCAGGCTGTGGTCCATTCAGAACCGGGTCACAGCAGAGGTGGGCAAGCACATGCACACGCGCAGCTCCACTTGTGTGAGTGGCAGGCAAGCGTGCAGCTCCATTTGTGCAAGTGGTAGGCGAGTGCACACATCTGTGCCACTCACGCAGAACCTTCCCCCCCTTGCTGGTACACGAATCCATAAAAGTTGGGGAACGCTGATCTAGGGCATCAATATTTGGGGGTGCCCATGCCACCTGATCTTCCAGATCATTCTAAAGATGCCATCTTTGCATCAGCAGAAGATGGTACCATCAGTCAATATAGCCTGGGGACATCATATAACCTTGAATTAGCACTAGATAGGACCCTTATCCAAACCCCATCCAAGGCCAAGGAACAAGAAATGAAAAGTTTTGGAGGTTTTTTTTTTACCATGTAAGAGCAGAAGAAAAAACAGAGTTCAACCATGGATGTTATAAATAGAGAGCTTAAGTGCTTGATTTTGCAGTAGCTGATTGTTTTTGTATTAGGGCATCTAATATCTGCAATAAAAGAAATTCATTTGGCTAAGTGTTGACTCTTCTGTTGTTAGCTTCTGAGTGCTGAGTTTCTAAGCCAAGAGGTCAGCATCCTTCTTCCACATAGAGGCCAATGGCCATGTCTGCATTGCAGGAAATCCTTGTTTAATGACCAGTTGTTTTATGAGCAAAGTTACAACCATCCTTCCAAAAGTTAATTACAGCCCTTTCTAGACATAAGATGTTACTGCTATGCACCACCATCACCCAACAGCCACAGGACTGCATTTCAGGCACTTGGCAACCATCTCACATTTTCAACTGGTTGCATTTTTTCCAGTGTTGGTTGCTGATTTCCAGCCCAAAATGCCTATTTGAGAGAATTGATTCACTTAATGATCATGTGGTTTGCTTAACAATTACATCATTTGATTAACTATAGAGGTGACTCACTTTATGACCCTTGTAAAACTGTTGTAAAACTGAGGCAGATCATGTGTTGACCCCCTTAATGACCAAGTGACTTACAATGGACATTCCAGGCTCAGTTGTGGTAGTTAAAGTGAGGACTACTTGTACTCTCTCTTGAGCAAATACACTGGCAGTTGGGACAAACCATAGAGAAGTGTTTTTTAAGGAGAAAACGGAGGTGAGGCCAACAGGAAAAAGAGGGCATGCAGAGGATACCCCTTGTGGTTGGGGAAAGAAATGCTTCTGGAGGGAGGGAGGGAGGAAGAGACCTAGTAATTGAAGGTATGTTATAAGCAATATAGACATTATATCATTCAAATCATTGCAATGTATTAAAATGGTGCAATTCTACATCACATTATAAGACAGAACTGCAAAGTTTACTTTTTTAGAATCACTGCAAGCAGGAGATAAGGTATGATATATATATTTTTTTGTGATGATTTTAGGTGGCAGGACAGACCCATCCTTTGGGCTGTTGGTTGCCAGCCATTGTTTTAGAGAGATTTGAAACCTCTCCTTAAATATGCATTGCTAAAAACGAAGGATACTATAGATTGCCTTTTTGTTTTTATTTGGCCACAGTAATTTATCTATCTACTTTTATGACCAAAATACAGTATTTGGGGGGCATTTTGCACACACAAGATATATTTTGAGATAATAAAGGACATAAATCTCTTTTAGCTTTGTATTTTCCAATGGTAACATTCCTTGAATCATCTGGCAGTTCTAACAGAAAATTTACCTTAAGGAATCACTGGCACTTTCGCAACAGGTAGACTTACCTTTGCTTGGAATATTGCTATCCTCTTAGACCTGAGACTAAATGCTTAGAATTTCCAGATTGTGAGCTCCACCATCTAAGAATATTTGAGTTGTGGCATCAAAAAATATTCCTCCTAGCTGGAGGGTGGCATTCATCCAGCCCCCATCTTCTTGCTTCCCCGTTTTGACCCTTTGCTGATTTTCTCTACTCTCCAACAATCCAACAGCCCCCCCCCCCTCTCAGCTTTCTTGGTTGATGTCACAATGCAGAAATAATTGGCAGACAGATTTTCCAGTAGGAGAGAGATGCCTTTCAGCCAGGAAAGGTGGAAATTGGAGAGAAGAGGGTACAGAAACAGGGAGCCCCGAAACTCATGGGGGGGTCCAGCCCCACCCAGAATGATGAGCCAGAATTTTGTGGCTTAGAGGATGCTTTTGCTCCAGTGTCATGATAATCAAGCAGGGATTATAACTTCTCCCACTCCGTCTTAGCCATGTTCTCATATCCTCCAGGTGGGAACAATTTACATACTTATGTTCTTCTGCCCTGGGTTGTGAGGAAGGATCAGATACAGGAGGATGTTTTTGAGTTTCATGGGGTTAAAGGGAAAGACTTGGGTGACAATCGTTTTGTTTGTGGGCAGAAGCTAACCCCAGCGTCAGCCACTTTTTCAGATAATAGTCTTCCAAGGGTTACCTTTCATATTTTGGAGGTGGCCCTCTAAAGAACCTTTCATTTGAAATTTAAATTAAATGTAATTTGATTTCATTAAATACCCCCAACCTCAAAAGATCTGGTGCAATTTTTCCTGACCCTTCAGAAGATGACATATGATTACACAAAGATCTGGTGAAACTTGGGGTGTTTTAGTTTTATTTAAATCTTAAACATAATTTAAAATGTGTGGGGAACCTATGAGGGTCACTGTCTTAGAGGGTCTGGAGTTATTGTGAGGCTGGTCTCAGCTATAGCTGAGTTTGGAGACTGGAAGATTGTTTTTCATCCCATTAAATTGACTTCTGTGTCAGAGAGAAGCAACGAGACGTGAGTCAGCCCTGCAAGCTAATCCAGGCAAGAAGCACAAACCCTGAATACTAGCACTACCTGTGTTGTAGTATTATGTAACAGCATCTTTCAAGTCTGAAAGCACTAAAGACGGTCCCTTCTGAGGTGCTTCTCACACTTTTTTTTTCCTTCCAAATCAAAATTTCATTTTTTAATGTATGCCAGTGTGTTCACAGAAAAAAGCGACAATATCTTATCTTATCTCATCTCATCTCATTTTGCCTCCCCTCGCCTCGCCTTGTCTCAGCTCAGCTCATCTTATCATCTTATTATCATCCTATCCTATCCTATCCTATCCTATCCTATCTCACGTCATCCCACTTCACCTCACCTTACCTTACCTTCCCTTATCTGTGGGCTGAGATATCTTGTGCATTACAGTTGTCTAGGCTGCGGCTCTTCTTCCTGTCTCCCAAGGTCATTTCCATATAATATTAGAACATGGAAATATATGTCATGGTTCATTGTCTTGCATTGTTCAAGAACAAAGTACAGTCCCTGCCTCAAGTGGCTGTAGTTTGAGACAAAGAGAAAAAACAGCAACTGTGGATGAATACCAAAGGAGCACCTCACTGAAGATGTAGGATAGGTCCTTTAAAGACATGCCCAGTCCTGCAATCTAATTAAAAATGTTGTGAGCTTGCACATCTTGATTCTTGTAACACTTTCCACATCTGTTCTCTTATTATTTTTCTGCCTTCCAGGAAGGGAACCAACAAAGAGCCAGTGGAGTCCTTCAGAAGATATACATGATCAGGCTCTCCAGGGCTGGTCACCATCACCTGGCAAATTGCAGAAATTGTTGCAGTTGCCAGAGTACAGTGTGTTTAGAGGTGCACAAACCTTCGAGAGCAACTTTTTCCAGGTGATTGGGTGCTCTTGTTGTCTAGGAATGAGCAGGGATTTTCAATAGAGAGAAACTGCTGCTCTGTTTCCTATTCCTATTTATATGTGGGTATATGCATAATTCTGTATTTATTTATTTATTTATTTTTGTCATATTTATATAGTTTAGGGGTCTTCAAACTTGGCCCTTTTATGATTTGTGGACTTCAACTCCCAGAATTCCTCAGCCAGGCATGCTAGAACTAAGGAACTAACAACCTAGAACTAAGGAGAAACTTCCTGACAGTTAGAACAATTAACCAGTGGAACAACCTGCCTCCAGAAGCGGTAAATGCTCCAACACTGGAAGTTTTTAAGAAGAAACTGGACAGCCATTTGTCCGAAATGGTATAGGGTTACCTGCCTGAGCAGGGGGTTGGACTTGATGACCTCCAAGGTCCCTTCCAACTTATTATTATTATTATTAGGATCATCGCACAGTCAGCCAGATGTTCAGACTGGATTTGGCATTTCGTCTACCTATCGAGTCCTTACCAAGGACCTGGGATAGGCAGATGTGGATGTTTGATGGTATTACACATATCGTCGCAGGATGGAAGCAGTTCCTAGTAAGGCTGCCTTTTGCAATGACTAATAGCGAATTTGTCAATGCCAATGGTGTTCAAGTGGTGCTCCAGTTGTTTTGGGATTGCACCCAAGGAGCCTATTACTATTGGTACTACCTTGCTTGCTTTTGCCACAGTCTTTCTATTTCTATTTGTAGGTCTTTGTATTTTGTTATCTTCTCCAGTTCTTTCTCGTCTATTCTGCTGTCTCCAGGCACTGCCACATCCACTATCCAGACTTTTTTGTCTTTCTTATCGACAATTGTTAAGTCTGGGGTGTTATGTTGCAGGTGCTTGTCTGTTTGAATTCTGAAGTCCCAGAGCAGTTTAATTTTATCATTTTCTATGACTTTCTCTATTTTATGATCCCACCAGTTTTTGCTTACAGGCAAATGATATTTTTTGCAGATCTTCCAATGCACCATTGTTGCTACTTTGTCATGCCGCTGCTTGTAGTCAGTCTGTGCAATCTTCTTGCAACAGCTTACCAGGTGGTCCACTGTTTCTTCAGCTTCTTTGCATAGGCGGCACTTACTGTCTGTTGCTGTCTTCTCAATTTTGACTTTATATGCATTTGTCCTTAAGGCTTGGTCTTGTGCAGCCAGAATTAGTCCCTCGGTCTCTTTCTTCAATTTTCCTGCTCTTAGCCATTGCCAGGTTCTTGTTATTATCTGCTTTCCCAGCTATTTTTTTTAATGTATTGGCCATGTAGTGCTTTGTCTTCCCATGCCTCTATTCTGTTCTTCATTTGGTCTTTCTTGTAGGCCAGTTTGGTCTCTCCAGTAGTTAGTAAGCCTTCCTGATATACTAATTTCAGTGCATCTTCATCATTGTTCTTCAGATATTCTTCCAAAGCCATTTTTTCTTCTTCAACCATCTGATGTACTTGTAGCATTCCACGCCCACCTATCTGCCTTGGTAGATAAAGTCTGTCAATGTCACTGCGTGGATGAAGGGCATGATTCATTGTCATTATTTTTCTGGTCTGCCTATTCATTGCTTTTAGTTCTGCTTGAGTCCAGTCCACTATTCCAGCTGTGTACCTAATGACTGGAATTGCCCAGGTATTGATTGCCTTTATGGTATTTCCTCTATTGAGTTTGGACTTTAAGATCTTCTTCACTCTCTTGATGTATTCACCTCTAATCTTTTTTTTGACTTCAGTGTGCTTGATGTTGTCAGCTTGAAGGATACCCAAGTATTTGTAGTAATCTTCCTCATCCAGACTCTTAATGTTATTTTCGTGGGGCATCTTGATTCCTTCAGTTTTCACTATTTTTCTTGTTTGATAGTAAGTGTGGCACATTTGTCCAAGCCAAACTCCATTACAATATCTTGGCTATATATACGGACAGTGTTGAGCAGCGATTCTATTTCAGATGTTTTTCCATACAGCTTCAGATCATCCATGTAAAGGAGATGTTGTTGTTGTTGTTATTATTATTATTATTATTATTATTATTAAGGATCATTGCACAGTCAGCCAGATGTTCAGACTGGATTTGGCATTTTGTCTACCTATCGAGTCCTTACCAAGGACCTGGGATAGGCAGATGTGGATGTTTGATGGTATTACAGATATCGTCGCAGGATGGAAGCAGTTCCTAGTAAGGCCGCCTTTTGCAATTGACTAATAGCGAATTTGTCAATGCCAATGGTGTTCAAGTGGTGCTCCAGTTGTTTTGGGATTGCACCCAAGGAGCCTATTACTATTGGTACTACCCTTGCTTGCTTTTGCCACAGTCTTTCTTTTTCTATTTGTAGATCTTTGTATTTTGTTATCTTCTCCAGGCACTGCCACATCCACTATCCAGACTTTTTTGTCTTTCTTATCGACAATTGTATTATTATTATTATTATTATTATTATTATTATTATTATTATTATTATTATTATTATTTCATAAAAGGCCAAGTTTGAAGACCCCTGATGTAGTTTATATCGGAGATTGTGACCCTTTGAGAGCTGAATGCAACAAAATTTCATTTTAACATATACCGATTGTGTACATTGAAAGTGACAATAAAGTTATTATTCTTTTACAAGTAGTCCTTAACCTACAACAACAATTGGGACCAGGATTTCTGTTACTAAGCAAGGCAGTCATTAAGTGAGTCACACTTAAAAGGCCTTACAACCTTGTTTGCCACAGTTGTGAAGTGAATCCAGCTTCCGCCCTTGACTTTGCTTGTTGGAAGGTGATCACATGGGAACGTCTGATCACATGACCCGGAACGCTGCAGCCATTTTGAATACATGCTGATTGCCATGTAACTATGGAGATTCTGTAAGAGTCATAAGCATGAGATCTAGTCATAGGTCACTTTTTTCAATACCCATTGCAACCTCAAACAGTCACTAAACAAGAATTTAAGTTGAGCACTGCCTGTAGCTCTCAAAGATGTTCATAAACCTACTCCATGACTTGAATTGTGCTGGCTGGCGGACCATTTCACCAGCAACCATACCTGGTCCTGGTGCTCAAGGATCCAGCAAGTGGATCACTGTTAGGACCAGGGGCAAAGAAGTCTCACATCACCACTTGGAATGATGCCTCCTTTCCCATAAACAGCATTTTATTGCTAGGGAATGAGATTGGCTGGGTGGGAGTACAGCTGTAAATGTTTGTTTTAGTTACAGGTAATCCTCGACTTAGAACCACAATAGGGAGCAGAAAACTTGTTGTTAAGTGGTGTGATTTTTAAGCTAGACATCACGTGACTATAATTTATGACTTTCTCAATTGACCCTGCTTTTTGGAAGCCGGCTGGGAAGATCGCAAATGGTGATCATGTCACTGCAAGCTGTAATGACTGTAAACGGAAGGACTGATTTTAAGCCACATTTTTCAGCACTGTTGTAACTTTGAACAGTCACTAAATGGATGGACGCATGTTGAGGACTAGCTGTATTCATTTAGTAACAAAATGATACTTGTTCCTAAGTAATAAGACTAGACTGATAGCAAACTCCACCTCCCCCTGTCCATTTTTAATGTCACATTATCATACAGTACTTTCATTGCTTATCGATTCCATTGTTTATTGTTTGTTTACTTTGATATGGGGACTGTAGGATAAAATACCTATGATGACTACATTGGGGTGCTTGTGGATCTTACGTTTATTCTTCTTTTCATTTCTCCATTTTTACTGTTGTAAGCCACCCAGAATATCTCCTTGGTGAGATGGGCAACAGATAAATTAAACAAATACTGTTCTGTGTGATCACTAAAAGCCAAGCTTTTAAAATTATTTGAAGGCATCTCAGGACACCTTCTTCTTTTCTCTCCATACAGGTGACCAAAGAAGGCCAATTCATTAACATCCACAAACATCCCAATGTAGTCACCATAGGTATTTTAGCCAGCAGCCCCAAGTTGCTCCTTCCTGATCTGATGATTATCGCCCGGGAAAAACAAGAAACAACGAATAAAATGCCAAGGTCTAGAGCATTAGAGATCACTCGGTAAGACTGGCATAGCATTCCTCACCCTTCCTTCCCAAGCCTCCTTGCAAAGTTTGAGTTCTCATGTTGCTGTTTCTTATCTACAGGTTGATCCCACTGGAGCTGGTGGAGATTTTTGTTCACGACGTGAGCAAACGGCAGCTGAAAATGCAGCTGCCCACAGGGGACAAGTATTACCTGCAACTCTCTGCCAGGGAAGAGAAGGCGGATTTCCTCTTTGAGTGCTGGGTGCGCCTGGTTTACCTGATACGCCTGGCCACTGGCAAGAGCAAGATTCCCGAAAATCTCCCTGGGAAGAAACTTGAGGTTTGCTCTTTATGGAAGCGTAGTTCTTTGTAAGCTAAGCTGGTCGAAGTGAGATAAAATTGGAAAATGTAAGAAGTACCGGATAAGAAGTGCTGGGTCAAGAACTGACCCAAGGAACTAGATCAGGGGTAGGCAACCCTGGCTCTTTTATGACTCATGAACTTCAACTCCCAGAATTCCTGAGCCAGCCATGCTGGCTCAGGAATTCTGGGAGTTGAACTCCACGAGTCATAAAAGAGCCAAGATTGCCTACCCCTGATCTAGAGTCTTCCCTATGACAGTCCATTTTGAATTGAATTGAATACTTGATTTGGCTAAGTGTCATTAGACACAAAAGGAATGTATCCTCGGGTACAGAAGTACTTAGTGTACATGCAAAGCAACAGTAAAAATAATAATACCTATGAAAGAAGGAAATGATAGCAAGAATAAATAATAATACTACAGGTGCACTATATGGCTAATATATAGAGACATTAGACAGAACTGGGAGTATTAGGTGTTCAGCAGAGTGAGGGTTCCTGTGCCTAGTTGTCTTGGCATACAATGCCCCATAGCAGTGTCCCAAGGGAAGGAGTTGAAATAGTTTGTGTCCAGGATGTGAGGGATCTGCAGATATCTTCTCAATTCTCCTTTTGACCCATGCAATATACAGGTCTTCTATGGAATGCAGGCTGGTTGCAATTATTCTTTCTGTGGCCTTGACTATTCATTGGAGTCTCCTGTTTAGTTGAAAAGAGTAGTTGAGCCTTGGTGGACCAGCCATGGCCAACCTCCTAATTCTCTTCTTAGAATGAATTCAAATAAGTTGTCTTCGTTCAATTAAAAGTGGGAATGTAAAAAAAAAAAAAAACTTTAGAAGCTCTCATGGTCGTGGATTTGGTTCTCATTACCCAGTAGTGGGATTCAGCCAGTTCGCACCACTTTGGCAGAACTGGTAGCTAATTTTTGGCTGCACAGGTCCAGAATGGGCTTCCAGAAGTGGCATCCACACATAGAACCGGTTGTTCACATATTTGAATCCCATCACTGTCATTACCCCATATATCATTGTTGGGACAGCCCGTTTTAATATATTCTAATTTATTATTATTTAGCAAATAGAAAAACCTACAGTGCCTTGTTGTACCTCTTGGTAGGGAGCTGAATTGCTTTGTTAATCAGAGATTAGCAAGACCATCTACCTTCTGCTCAGAATGCCTGAACTAATATTAAAGTGATGGATGAGATCCTGGTACTGTATCAAGTTGCTTGGGAATGTTTTGAGTAAGGAGGAATGTTTGTGATAAGGTAAAATTCTTAGCCTGCCTTCTGAGCTTTAGCTGAACTGTGTTACTATGACTACTGAAGATATAGGCAGGATGTTGCTTTTAATGATTGATTTATAATGATATAGGCTTCCATGATTGAAACAGAGATGAGCACCGCCCCCTAGATAGGCAATCCTGGACTTACAACAGTTCATTTAGTGACCGTTCAAAGTTACAATATCACTGAAAAAAGTGACATGATAATTTTTCACACAACTGTTGCCGCATCCCTGTGGTCACATGATCAAAATTCAGACTGTTGGCCACTATCTCACATTTATGATGGTTGCAGTGTCCCGGGATCATGTGATCACTTTTTCTGAGCTTCTGACAAGCAAAGTCAATGGATAAACCAGATTCACTTAACAACCGTGTTACTAACTTAACATCTGCAGCGATTCACTTAACAACTGTGGCAAGAAAGGTCATAAAATGGGGCAAAACTCACTCAACAAATGTCTCACTTAGCAACATAAATTTTGGGCTCAATTGTAGGTCGTAAGTCGAGGAATGCCTATTAATTGGTAACGCCCAGCAGAATACAGTCTGCAGGAATTCCCTTATGCTCCCATGGTTGGTTCATGGCAATGTATCCTTTTCAAAATTGTGTGAAAGGGGATCCAGTCCAAGCAAGCAATAGGAGTTTTCTTTTCCTTTCCCCCTATCTGGTGTGGTTCATTGGACTTGCATGGCAGGTAAAGGGACCTGAGGTTTCTGGGATGGTACCATGACACTATATATTTCTTTCGTTACAGAGGCCCCCTTCTAGAGAGCACATTCAGCATTCGAGTCCTAAAGCGAAGAAGCTGTCTGTAGATAAGGAGTCACCAAAGATTCAGCCCAAGTTACAGGAGCGGTTTTCTCCCAAAAGAACTTCTGAGGGCTTCACATCCAGGGCATCTGAGCTAATTTCAGCAGCAGATCGGCTGAAGAGAGTCAGAGAGGCCAATTTTGAGAAAAAGAAGCGCCTTTCATCCAAAATCTCATCTGAATCTAATCCCATCCCAATCACACTTCAAAAAAGCAAAAAAGAAATATGTTTGTTACAAAAGACCAAAATGGCATCCCCGCTACAAAAAAGCCCTCAGGCCATGAGGAATGAGCATCCTGCTACTAGAGCAAGGGAGAGCAATCCTGGCCCATCAAGGTCTCCTGGACCTCCATCCCAGAGCCAGTCGCCAAAACAGAATCAACCTGCATCCAGAGTTGAACCAAGAGCAAATTCTACGTTGGTGGAAACTGGTCCATCTCAGGCTGTCCAAAGGAAATCAAAAGTAGAATCTGAGAAAGAAAGCATTCCAGTTAATCATCTAGCAAATCAGAGCCAGAACAGTAAAACTAGTAAATATTCAGGGAACCCAAGCATGATTCTGGGGAATAAGCCACAGGCTTTTTCAAACATTTCCCCGGAAAAGGGACATCTCGCTTCTCAGAATGACACTGGGCAGCAAGTTCACAGAGTCACAATGTCAGTAGGAGTGGAGACTTCTCAAGTCATCTGCAAAACAGTGGCTGTGGGGCCCTCTGAAACAGATGATCCAAATTTGAGCAAACTTCCCAATCAATTACTGAGTGCAAATAAAACTCACAAAGAGCAAAATAAGACCATAGGAAAAAAGGAAATGAGCAGGTATGTGGATTCAAAATGAGATGTACAGTCTTGGCACATGACTTGATTGTTTGAGGGGACCTTCCATCTCCTGTGGTGTCTGCTTGACTTAAATGTTTGAACAGAGTTGAAATGCTTCAAGTCCTGTTGGCTAAATGGCACCACTTTATGTGACCCAGAAAGTGGCCCTACTCTGAAATCACGTTTGTCCTCTGCAACAGCATCCACCCATAGAGTCAAATGGCCCCCATCCTGACTTTGTTCAAGGGCCCTGAACAGCTGGTTCTTCCCCCAGGGATTGTGTTAGAGAATGTAATGGGCCCTTTTAGGAATATGAAGTTGCAGTTTATGCCTTCACTTCACAATTGCATGTTTCATTTTTAAAAGGTTGTAGCAAAAAAGAGGTTGCAAAATCAGGCATGATCATGACTTAACAATCACATCACTTAGTAACAGAAGTTCCAATCCCAATTGTGGTCCTAAGTCAAGGACTACCTATATTGAAGGTTCTGCTAAGCAGCTCTTACATCTGCTAGCTTCCTTTGACTTTTTTCTGTACCAATCTGTTGTCTGAAAATGGAAAAACCAGTTTATAGAGGCTTTTGTTCCTTCCAACTGTTTATTTCAGCCTTTGCTTATCATTGTCTCTATCATCCAAATAGCGATAACACTTAGACGTATACCGCTTCACAGTGCTTTGCAGCCCTCTCTAAGCAGTTTACAGAGTCAGCTTATTGCCTCCAACAATCTGGGTCCTCATCTTACTGACCTCGGAAGGATGGAAGGCTGAGTCAGCCTTAAGCCGGTGAGAACTGAACTGCCGAACTGCTAACAGCTGGCAGTCAGCGGAAGTAGCCTCCATTACTGAATTCTAACCACTGCACCATCACAGCTCTTAATGTCCATTTAGCTAAAATAAGAGCAGTTTTAAGTTAACCACTCCAGATCAATGGTCCCCAACTTTGGGGCTCCAGGGCCCAGTTCTGTGGAAAACAATTTTTCCATGGACTGTGGTGGTGATGGTGGTTAACGCTTTATATAGATCCCACACGTACATAGATGAAGCCTCACTAACTTGCATGGCCCAGTTTCTAACAGGAGGCGGATCAGTACCGGTCCACAGCCGAGGAGTTGAGGACCCCAACTCTAAACAATGCATGACATTCTGGCTACAGATGAAACCCTTTCTAAACCACCAAGCATGGATAAGATTTGACAAAAATTATGATGTTTTTTTTTTTTTTACCACAGACTTATTTTAAAAACATATTGCCCCAGGGTTCTAGCTCCAGAGACCAATTAAGCATTCATGAATGATATATTTATTTACTTATCACTTTTATAGGTCATCCATCTCATATGAGGTGAGTCTGGGTGGCCTACAATAAAATCAACTATTAAAACAATATAAAAGCAAATTAAAACAACTACATTATTAGCATAAATAAAAGCATGATTTCAAGAAGGTTAATTAAGATGTTATACATGGTGCAATCAATGCACAAGCTCTCTGCTGCCAGGGGATTCCCAGGCCTGATGAAAAATTCACATTTTGAGGGCTTTTGATGGATGTATATTGACTTTTATAATTGGCTTGCTTAGCTTAAGAATATTATGCAGGACAAAACTAATAAGAATTGAGATCTAGAGGTGTAATCAGCATATGATCAGGATTATTTAGAGTTCCTTAAATTTGTCTGATTTAACCTCTGTCTTATCAGAAGGCAGGTACCTTTGGCCAAGAACAAAGTGAAAACAGCAATAAACACAGGTAGGAAGAAATCTCAATTAAAATTACCAATAGCAGTACCCATGATACCCACAGAGCATCCCTTTCTGAAATAAACAAAGTCATTGAACTAAGGCGCAATACTGACTATGGGTCCAAATTTGCCCTTCTCCACATTCAGCAAAGCAGTCTGTTAACATCTGCATGCAATTGATCAATGTAAGGGAATCGAGGCTAATATGACCAGTTAGTAAAAATGAAAAACTAAGAGAAAATGACACAGATAGGCCGTCCCTTAGCTTGTGCCATTTCAGCTGGGGACCTCACCACTGACCTTTCTTTCGTTTGCTTTGCAGCTAAAGAAAAAAGCAGCATTAAATTTGTAACCCTCTATAGCATCCTGTCCACTTCATTGGAGAGACTGAAGAAATCAAGCAAGGACGGTACCAAGGTAATGGTCTAAAGCAGGGGTAGGCAACCTTGGCTCTTTTATGACTCGTCGACTTCAACTCCCAGAATTCCTGAGCCAGTATGGAATTGCCTACCCCTGGTCTAAAGTGTAATCCAAAGGATGGAGGAGGTTGGTGGGGATTCATTTGAAGGTTCAGGATTCTAATAGCGCAGCATTTTGCAACCTTGGCACCTTTCAGATGGGTGGACTCCAACACCTAGAATTCCCCAGCCAGCAAGCTGGGAGCTGGAATCCACCCATCTGAAAGCTGCTGAGGTTGAAAAACTCTGTGACAGCAATACACTTTGAATTATTCCAGCTGGTTCATATATTTGGGTGCCTTCAACTGATAGATGTTTGAAGTCAATACAGGTAATCCTTGACTTACAACCATTCATTTAGTGACTGTTCAAAGTTACAACAGCACTGGGAAAAAAGTGAATTTAGGACTATTTTTCACATTTACAACCATTGCAACATTCCCATGGTCACGTGATCAAAATTCGGACCCTTGGCAACTTGCATGTACCGTACTTATGATAGTGTCTCTGGTCCTGTAATCACTTTTTCTGAGCTTCTGACAAGTAAAGTCAATGGGGAAGACATATTCAGTTATCAGCCATGATACTAACTTAACAACTACAGTGATTCCCTTAACAACAGTGTCAAGAAAGGTCGTAAAAAGGGGCAAAGCCCATTTAAAAACTGTTTTGTTTAGCAACAGAAAATTTGGGCTCAATTGTGACCAAGGACTACCTGTATTTAGTGTACGTTATAATAAGCATATGCTATATTTACCATCTCTGGGCAGAAGTATTTAAGGAAATCCATAAAGCAAATTTCAGCAGTCCTCCCAATTTCACTGATACCCATTTCCATCTGAGTATCACAGATTCACTAAGTAGGGTTGAAATGTTAGAGGGCATCCACTGCATTCCATCTGAAACACAACATTACAACAGAGTAACTGGTGGAGGAAGGTAAGGTGAATGAAAACATTTCCCAGGGGAAGACATTTGGTTGAAATGCATCGGGCCATTATCACCTAATTATTTCAGTATTTTTGAGACTGAAGCCTTCACCATCCTGTTTGCAAATCAACCTTTTTCTTCTTCTTCTGTTTGATCTCTCACAGACGTCCAAGCATGTCACAATCTCCGGGGTGATTGCCAAATCAAGAAAAAGTATTGTGCTGCAAGAGGAGAAGACCGGCAAGACTTTAGGAGCCAGCACCCACAACACTGTAGGGCTTGTCTCCAATGAAGCTGCTTGTGTGATGGTGAAGAAAGATTTTCTTCCATCCTCCCAGCCTCAAAAATCACTGAGCAAAGAAGCTGTTAAGTTCCAGACTTCTTCAGCTAGAGAGAACTTTTTGGAAACAGCTGAAGCCAAAAAATTAGGCCATCCAGTTGTGGCCAAGGAGCCTGGTGTAACAAGCATCATTTCCCAGAATACAGGTGTGGAACAATGAAGTGTCCCAGGCTTGGAGAATGAGAGGGTTCTAAAAAGACTTCGCCTGCATCCAAAATAACTATAGAGAAACCTAGGATTGTGGCTACCACCCTTTGCAACCTCAGAGTAAACCCCCATCAATGTAATTACCCCAACCAAAATTTGTCCCCCAATCTCTACTATCCAGAAAAGTATCAAGGAAAACCTAAGGGACTGGTTTTCTTCCAAGACTGCCAAAATCTGGGATGCTCAATCATAGACAAAGTCACTGTGATAGCCATCTGAGAAAACCAGAGAAAGCTCTCTGCAGTACTTGGTGCTCCCATCAAACCCAGGGTTTCAAAGAGGATGGGTTATTCTGTAAAAAAAAAAAAAAAAAACCTCTCTAAAATGCTGGGTGTGGGCACTCTGTGATGGGCATATTTTCTGAAACAATTGGTTCTTTTGAGCCAGTTAGCAGTACAGGTAGTCCTTGATTTATGACTATTCATTTATAACCATTCAAAGTTATAGTGGCACTGAAAAAACATAATGATAGGTCCTTTCATTTAACAACCATTACAATGTCCCTATGGTCATGTGATCATAATGTGGGTGCTTGGCTAGCAATAGCAATAACACTTAGACTTATATACCGCTTCATAGTGCTCTCCAGCACTCTCTGAGTGGTTTACAAATGTCAGTATATTTTCCCCAACAATCTGGACTCTCATTTTACTGACCTCTGAAGGATGGAAGCCTAAGGCAATCTTGAGCCAGTCAGGATCAAACTCCTGGCAGTGAGCAGAGTTAGCCTGCAATACTGCATTCTAACCAGTATGACACTACGGCTCCTAAACATATGTTTACAGTGGTTGTAGCAGGGGTCCCCAACCCCTGGTCCGTAGGCCGGTACTGGTCTGTGGCTTGTTGGGAACTGGCCCACATAAGTGGTGGGCGAGCATGTGAAATTCCATTTGAGCAAGCAGCGGGCACACACAAAACCATCCCCTCCCCTCCCACCACCACCACTGCCACTGGTCCACAGATCCAGAAAGATTGGGGACCACTGGATTGTAGCATTCCAGGGTTATGTGATTATCATTTGCGACCTTTCCAGGTTTGAACAAGCAAAGTCAGTGGGAGAAGCCAGATTTGTTGAACCATCACATAATTCACTTAAAAAACACTGTGATTTGCTTAACAACCATGGCAAAAAAAGGTTGTAAAATTGTATGTGACTCACTGAATGACTGCCTCACTTAGCAACAGAGCTTCTGGTGGTTATAAGTCGAGGGTTATCTGTAAAAGCTCAAAGTCTGATGTCTGATATCCACAGCAGACTTGAACAGGAGGCTCTCAGAGATTATGCCCTCTTCCTAAATCCTGTTGCGGTGGTTGTAAGATGTAGAAATCAAGACTATGACGGTGGATGCTCTACAGGTAGACATTATTTTCATTATTTTTTCTGGCCTTCCAAGGTCAGAACGTAAAGGTTAGACTTAGATCTCAGGTGAAAAGTACCCACAAGCCCCAGTGGTTTAAGTTATTGGAAGACAAATCTGTAGAAAACAACATGGTATTTTTGAAATCTAAAACTGCTACTTCCCCAAACCAACACAAGGACTTGGCAGTCATCCGTCCATTTTCAACAAAATTCACTTGCCATGTATCAAATAGAATAGCTTCATCCTCTAATATGACAAAATAGAGTAATACAATAGAATTCATTTTATTTTCTGGATTTCTAATTTTTTATTACATGTAAACTAGAAATTGTGTTTTAAAGCAGACTCTGGTGGAGTGCTGAGCAAATCAATCCTGAACTTTGCATTATTCTGGTTGTGTGTTTAACAACTAGCCATAGTTCCTTGTTTGCACACAAGAAATCAGGAGTTTGCTAAAAGGAAAATAAATTCAGCTGAAAGAAATGTTATTTTTTCTCCAAATTGTTCAGGAAGAGAAGACCATGCATAAACCAAGCACTGTACAGTATATATGGTTTTCTTTATGGCCATCCACATGGCACAACTTTTATTTTTCTGTGTACATGCGGGAGCAAAAAAGAAGATGGCATATATAATTTTCCCAAGAAAATTTATTCACTTGAGATTCCACTTTTTAATATTTTGTTTAGGGCTGAGCAAAATGCACCCCTATCCAAGACATCTGTTCCTAGCCACAATGGTGCCAAAAAAACAAAATGTTTGCTATGGTTTCATGATGCCAGTTCCACCCTTTTGCACTTGCTTTGCGTCATTGCACAGAAAAACTTAAGAGGCTGAGTTTCCCTTGAAATTTATGTTTTGACCCTCGCTTCCTTGCTGCTTCCGTGGCTGCCAATTGCTTTATTATTAATACTTTATTCTATTTGGCAGCAGTCTTCAGATAGATGAAATTTGCCCGAGTTAGCAAAGCTGTTTTTTCTGGCAAGGAGATACAAGTTGCTCATTTTTTCTACTTTTTCCTGCTTGATTGCTTTTTTAAAATGTATGTGAGATGCTGTAGTCCAATTTATGGGGTGCAATTCCAGGATGGAGAGGAAGTGACAGACAGCGATCCACAATGGAACACTAGTTAGCTGTAGACTTTTTCTGAAAGTCTTCTTGAACTTTTCCAAAGTAGCTGTGATTTCCCATCTAACTACTAACTAGGCTGGTCCTGCGTAGTGTTTCTTTCAAGATCATCTGAGCCCACTCAGTGGTGTTGCCTCCTGTGCTATTCACAGTTTACAAGTTGCCGAAAGTGTAATACCACAAAATTCAGAAACGTATTTCTTTTTTAAAAAAAATAATAACTTTATTAAGATTTTAAAAAAGAAAGATAAAAATAAACAAAACTAATATTTAGAATAAAGAAAAGAAAGAAGTAAAGAAAAATAAAAACTAAAGTTAAAAATGCAGAAAAAAGAGAAAAGAAGAAAATATAAAACAAACTCTTTTTTTGCTAAATTAGAACTACCTAAAATATAACTGAGGAGAAGGTAAAAAGGTTTGGGGAATAAACAACACTGGGACAAGCAATTTGGACTGGAATAGAAAGTTAAGCACCTAATGGTGGGGAAAAACATGATCTAGAAAATTCATATCTAATCCAAATTCCTAATAATTGTATCAAGATTTATCCTGCAATTGTGTCTGCAGACATACAGCCTGCATATAAGCATCTTTTAGAAGGCAGGGTCTAGAAAGAAGGCAAAGTGGACAAGATCTAACCTGAATTCTCTCTCTTTATTTAAGACTTCCAACAGTGAACCTTGTACTGTATAAAGATCTCATTCTTCTTACTCCAAGTCCTAAAACTTAAAAGGATTGTAATCTGAGGTTGGATAAAAGTTATGCCTCTTCCAAATGGCAAATTTTACTGGATTAGAACAAGAATATGGAAATCTTTGCAAAGAAATTGTGCTGCTTTTAAGTGGTTGGAAGAAAAACTTGAGAAGGGAAGAGACTTACTCTGTCCAGTCCGCTGACAGATTAAAAAAAAAAGGAGCATTGATTTTGTATGTTTATGTGCATGTGTGTCTGTCTAGTGTCTGTTTTTATAACTAGAACCTTTATTACATCTTTGGTGAAGCTCATAAAAAGAGATCAGTCAAGAAGAAAGTGAGAACAATTGCACTTTTTTTACAGCTCCTGTTTATTTTAATCCTGGATGATATGGCGAACATGAATAAACTTCTTTTTTTAAAAAAAAAATCAAAGAGTTGCTCATGAGATCATTTTTCACAAAGGTTCATGCTAGAATGTGTGAAATCTCTGGGGAGAGATGGTTGAAATCTCTAGAATGATGATGTTGCAAAAAAGGGCCTTTTAAAAAATGCTATTTGTACAGAATGCCTAAAAATATTGTTAACCTCAATGTTTTAGAAATATACTTGTATTTGCTTTGCAAGCTGTCTTGAGGGCTTTTAAAAAGTAGAAAGCAGGGCAGAAATATCGTAAACAAAAACTGCCCTCTAATGTGTTTTACCTCTCTGCTCTTGTCCGACCATGCACGAGAATCAGAAAATATCCCGTTTTGGTGATGTCCACAGCCCATTTGCTCCAAGTCTTAATATGTGTTGCCTAGCAAATCAAATTTTGAAGTAATCAAGAGCACTGGTTGTTATAAATATGCCAATGATCAATAATAAACATTTTTAAATTATAAGCAATGTGTTATCTAATTTAGTAGATTACAGGAATGCAATGGACATAATATATCTTCATTCAGCAGAGTCCCAAAGAACCCTATGACTTTCTGAGTACAAGTTTAGCAGCAAACCCAGTTACTACAAGAAGTGATTAACTTCTTTTCACTGGATCTATTCAAGCAGACAACTGGAAATGCTTTAATTTGGATTCCTCCCCTAAGCAGGAAATTGGACTCCGTACCTAAATGGCTTTCCAATCCACGATGTTATGCATTTTTTTCTTCTTTGCTGGTGTTCAAAATGATAATCAGAATTCACTGGTAGAAACGTGACATGCAGAATCCAGAAATTGATCCACAAATGCCAATGAACCAGACGCAGGAGGAGAATTTGACCCACAAAGTGAGGCAGTTGCAGTGGTGTTATGGGGCTTTCAGTCCCCTGTTGCTGAATTGTTCAAAAGGTAACTGTGAGAAATTTTCCAGAATTTTGAAATTAATTATAGGTAGCCCTTGGTTACATTGTCAGTTGGGACCAGGATTGCCATCAGTAAGTGAAGGGGTCCTAAAGCACAATGTCACATGACTGCATTGCTTAGTGAGAACAATTCCAGCGGTTTCAGTTGCTATTGTAACCCCAAGACATAGTGTAGGAAGTCAGCACCCTCCCCCCAAGAATGAAATATTTGGGGGAATATTTAAAAAGGCACGATAGAATATTTCCCCTGAAGGAGAAATGGAGAGAAAAAAATCTTAACAAAGGCAGAAACAGCCTCAGTCTCCCTGCTCAAGCAGAAACCTGAGGAGGCCATCTTTAGAAATGGAGATTTTGTAATCCATTCAGAAAGACTGGACCAGCTTATTCATAAGCAGAACGCCTTCAGCCACAGTTCCCACGGAAGGCTGGAGCTGATGGTATTAGAAGAACAAAGACTCCTAAAATCTACATTCCCCACCCAGCTCCAAGGATAGGACCTCCCAGCCACAATGGAAGTCAGGCAACAATAATTAGAATACTAAAAGGGCACACTCAAGCACAGGTCAAAATACATTTCACAAGGAACACAAAGCCCCAAAGAATTTATAAAACCCACTTATTCCCAACTTCATTTTGTTAGCTGTCCCAGAACTACATGCTGTTATTGGTTCTGCTCATCATTAAACCTTCTTTCCAAAGCAGCCAACCTCCATTTTATTTCCAGCAACTTAGCCTCCATTTTATTTCTAGTGTCTTACTCCCGGATTGGAACTGGACCTGATTTTTCTTACAACAATAGGTTGTTAAGTAGAAAGCAGTTAAGTGAATCATGCAGTTGTTAAGTGATTCCAGCTTTCCCCATTGACTTTGCTTGTTGTAAGCTGGCTGTGGAGGTCATAATTATTAACTAATCAAATCATTAAAGACATTGATTAGATGTGAGAATTAAACAGAAAACATTGATTTTAGGTAACATTCCACAAGTGATAAATTTATGGGTCACATCACTACCTTTCCCAGTTCAGTTTGTATCTTTCCTAACATTCAAGGACTTTCAGAATATGCTTTATATTGTTTAGTTCAGGGATGTCCAACCTGGGCAACTTTAAGATGTGTGGACTTCAATTCCTGGAATTCCCCAGCCGACAATGGACCCCCTTGGTTTAGTGGCTGAAAAGGCCATTTCTTGCATATCAAAATACTGTAACTGGCTTTTGTTTAGAGAAAAAAAACATATTTTTCTCAACTTAGAAAAAGAGGACTAGAATGCCATGTTAAAACTCTAATATCACTTTTATTAAAAAGGTAATAATGAAGCCTAAAATTCCAGGTAACCCTGTCATGCCCGAAATTTTGAGGATTGGTCATATATATAACCCCTATTTTTCAGTGTTGCTAAAACTTTGAACAGTTGCTGAATGAATAGACACGAGCTGAGGACTACCTGCACTTTCATGTTTTAAAAACCATATGCCCTCATTCCTTTGAGGGTTGCTACTGTTAAAAATCCATATGGGTATTGTTGTGTCCTGAGCCTGCAAAAGCAGGCTCAGGACGCAATTGGTCTCGGGCATTCCAAACGCTGCCCGGGACCAGACAGAGTGGTGCCAGCCTTGAGCGCATGCGCAAGGCGTGAAAACGCTAAGTTCCTATTGGTTCACACTGTCCGGGCTTCTGGCCATATAAAAAGGACTGTGTGCCTTTGTGCTTTTCCTTGGTTGTTGTAGAAGGAGAATAAAGTGTTTGTTGATCATCACCATGTGTCTTCATCATTCGCACATGAACGAAGGACTTAACAGGTATCATATTACAAAGCCGATAATTTTATATTTGACTATCTTTTGTAGGGAGTAATTAATCCAAAATATACTTTTATTAGGAAAAAAAATTTGAATCAGAAAAATGTACACATCATCTTCAAATCTGCATTAGTTCTAATCTGCATTATCATTTGTTGCCAGGGCTTTGCTTGGACATATTTTAGTTGTACCAATGAAGGAGAATATTTGTAGCTCAGGGTTGAAATGAGGGGTCCTTGGTGCTCTCTGAGCTTGCTTGTTTCCCTGCAGACGTTTCATAACCCTAATTAGGTAACATCATCAATGCTAGTAAGGAGTGTTGCTTGCTGTCAGTTTATATTCTGGTGTCTTGTGCCTGTCTGGATGGGTGGGTGGGGGCTGTTTACTAATGGTTCTTTGGCAGTTTCTTGATTGGAGTATGCTTACTTGATTGTTGGTCTGAAGGTGACCTTGGAATTAATCTATGCTGATCTGAGGGTTGATTACTGATGGAGAGGTGCTGAAATCTTTTTTCTCTTTTGGGCTGGTTGATTGTTTCTTCTGCATAATCTATAGATGTTGTTTAATGTCTATATTTTAGCTGTAACACTTAATTTTGTTGTTGTTGTTAATTGCGAAGTCATGTCCGACCCATCACAACCCCATGGACAATGTTCCTCCAGGTCTTCCTGTTCTCTACCATCTTCTGGAGTCCATTTAAGTTCACACCTACTGCTTCAGTGACTCCATCCAGCCATCTCATTCTCTGTCATCCCCTTCTTCTATTGCCCTCAATCTTTCCCAGCATTAGGCCCTTCTCCAGTGAGTCCTTCCTTCTTATTAGGTGGCCAAAGTATTTGAGTTTCAACTTCAGGATCTGGCCTTCTAAAGAGTAGTCGGGGTTGATCTCTTCTAGGAGTGACCGGTTTGAATGACTTGCAGTCCAAGAGACTCGCAGGAGTCTTCTCCAGCACCATAGTTCAAAGGCCTCCATTCTTTGGCGCTCAGCTTTTCTTATGGTCCAACTTTCACAGCCATACATTGCAACTGGGAAAACCATGGCCTGGACTATACGCACTTTTGTTGGCAGGGTGATGTCTCTGCTTCTTAGTATGCTGTCTAGATTTGCCATAGCTTTCCTCCCCAGAAGCAAGCGTCTTTTAATTTCTTGGCTGCAGTCCCCATCTGAGGTGATCTTGGAGCCCAGAAAAATAAAATCTGTCACTGCCTCCATTTCTTCCCCATCTATTTGCTAGGAATTGAGAGGGCCAGATGCCATGATTTTGGTTTTCTTAATGTTGAGTTTCATGCCAACTTTTGCACTCTCCTTCTTCACCTGCATCAAGAGGCTCTTTAGTTCCTCTTCACTTTCTGCCATTAGAGTGGTATCATCTGCATATCTTAGGTTGTTGATATTTCTCCCAGCAATCTTAATTCCAACTTTTGATTCATCTAGCCCTGCCTTTCTCATGATGTGCTCTGCATATAAGTTAAATAGGCAGGGAGACAGTATACAGCCTTGCCGGACTCCTTTTCCAATTTTGAATCAATCAGTGGTTCCGTGTCCAGTTCTCACTGTTGCTTCTTGACCTGCATATAGGTTTCTCAAGAGACAAATAAGATGGTCTGGTATTCCCATCTCTTTAAGAACTTGCCACACTTTGTTGTGATCCACACAATCAAAGGCTTTAGCATAGTCAATGAAGCAGAAGTAGATGTTTTTCTGGAACTCCCTAGCTTTTTCCATGATCCAGCGTATGTTGGCAATTTGATCTCTAGTTCCTCTGCCTCTTCGAAATCCTGCCTGTACTTCTGGTAGTTCTCAATCTACATACTGCTGGAGTCTAGCTTGTAGGATTTTAAGCATAACTTTACTAGCATGTGAAATGAGTGCAATGGTGCGATAGTTTGAACATTATTTGGCATTGCCTTTCTTTGGAATTGGAATGTAAACTGACCTTTTCCAATCCTGTGGCCACTGTTGAGTTTTCCAAATTTGCTGGCAATTGAGTGTAGCACTTTTACTGCATCGTCTTTTAAGATTTTGAATAGCTTAGCTGGAATACTGTCACCTCCACTAGCTTTGTTGTTGCTCAGATTTTCTAAGGCCCATTTCACTTCACATTCTAGGATGTCTGGTTCGAGGTCAGTGACCATCTCATTGTGGTTATCTGGGACGTTAAGCTCATTCTTGTATAGTTCTTCTGTGTAGTTTTGCCATCTCTTCTTAATCTCTTCTGCCTCTGTTAGGTCTCTGCCATTTTGGTCCTTTATCATGCCCATCTTTGCATGAAACTTTCCCTTCATATCTCCAATTTTCTTGAAGAGATCTCTGGTCCTCCCTATTCTGTTGTTTTCTTCTATTTCTTTGCACTGTTCATTTAAGAAGGCATTCTTATCTCTTCTAGCTACTCTCTGGAATTCTGCATTCAATTGGGTGTATCTTTCTCTTTCTCCTTTGCCTTTCGCTTCCCTTCTTTCCTCAGCTATTTGCAAAGCTTCCTCAGACAGCCATTTTGCTTTCTTGCATTTCTTTTTCTTTGGGATGGTTTTAGTTGCTACCTCTTGTACAATGTTGCGAACTTCCATCCATAGTTCTTCAGGCACTCTGTCTATCAGATCCAGTTCCTTAAATCTATTTGTCACCTCTACTGTATATTCATCAGGAATATGAGTTAGTTCATACCTGAGTGGCCTAGTGCTTTTCCCTACTTTTTTCAATTTAAGCCTAAATTTTGCAACGAGAAGCTCATGATCTGAGCCACAGTCAGCTCCTGGTCTTGTTTTTATTGACTGTATAGAGCTTCTCCATCTTTGGCTGCAGAGCACATAGTCAATCTGATTTCTATGTTGACCGTCTGGTGATGTCCATGTGTAGAGCCGTCTCTTGGGTTGTTGGAAAAGAGTGTTTGTTATGACCATCGTATTCTCTTGACAAAATTCTATTAGCCTGTGCCCTGCTTCATTTTGTACTCCAAGGCCAAACTTCCCTGTTATTCCGGTTATCTTTTGGCTTCCTACCTTAGCATTCCAATCCCCCATGATGATAAGGACATCATTTTTTGGTGTTAATTCTATAAGGTGCTGTAGGGCTTCATAGAACCGGTCAATTTCATCCTCTTCAGCACCAGTGGTTGGGGCATAGATTTGGACTACTGTGATATTGAATGGTTTGCCTTGGATTCGAATTGAGATCATTCTGTCATTTTGGGGATTGTATCCCAGTATTGCTTTTCCTATTCTTTTATTGACTATGAAGGCTACTCCATTTCTTCTGAGGGATTCTTGCCCACAGTAGTATACCTGATGGTCATCTGAGTTAAATTCACCCATTCCTGTCCATTTTAGTTCGCTGATTCCTAAGATGTCGATGTTCAGTCTTGTCATCTCTTTTTTGACTACGTCTAGCTTGCCTTGATTCATGGATCTTACATTCCAGGTTCCTATGGAGAAAAAATCTTTACAGCATCGGACTTTTCTTTCACCACCAGATATATCCACAGCTGAGCGTCCTTTCGGCTTTGGCCCAGTCTCTTCATTCTTTCTGGCGCTACTAGTACTAGCCCTCTGCTCTTCCCCAGTAGCATATTGGACACCTTCCAACCTGAGGGGCTCATCTTCCAGCGTCATATCTTTTTTCCTTTTAGTACTGTCCATGGGGTTTTCATGGCAAAGATACTGGAGTGGTTTGCCATTTCCTTCTCCAGTGGATCACATTTTGTCAGAACTCTCTGCTATGACCTGTCTGTCTTGGGTGGCCCTGCACGGCATAGCTTATAGCTTCATTGAGTTACACAAGCCCCTTCGCCACGATAAGGCAGTAATCCATAAAGGGGAACACTTAATTACCCATATATAAAAAGAAAAGTCTTCAGGTCAAACTTACCCATGAAACTGTTTTGGCCACAGTTTGAAAATGATTTGCTGCTGTCTTCATCCAGGTTTTTTTTCAACTTTCTAGTCCTCAATGTTCCTGATGGTTCCCATCCAAACGCTAATGAGATCTGATCCAGGCTGGCTTAGTTTTTTGAGATCAGCCAAACATGGTGGTTATCAGTCTGTACACTGCAATGTACATACAGTAAGTAGTCCTTGATTTATGATAATAATTGAGCCTAAAATTTACAATTGTAAGTAGTGGGGGTTGTTAGGCAGGTCACTATGTGACCATACCTGATTTTACAACCTTTTTACAGCAGTCATTAAGTGAATACTGAAGTCATGAAATGAAGCAATCCATTTTCTTCAATGGGGTTTTTTTTTTTTTTGTCAGAAACCAGAAGTAAAAATGCCAAAAATCACATTCACATGATGTAAGATGCTGCAAAGGGATGTGAGCTAGTTGCAGAATGTCCAAAATGTGATCATGTGACCACAAGAGTGTGAGGGGGGGTTGTGTGTGTGTGTCCATGTGCAGCCTTCAGAACTCTGGAACCAGGTTGTAAGTAGCTCTGGTAAGGTCCAGATTATAACTTCAAACGGTTGCTAAGCCAATCAGCATAGTTTTTCAGAAGTGGAATTGTCTATCAAAAAAAGTGTTTCTTACTGCTACTTGAATGGCTTGTTTCCATCATCCTGTGAAAAGGAGCCATTTTGTTACACATTCACTCCTCCCTCTGTGCCATTTCCAGAAGATCCTATGCCTCCAACCAGTGGTGGGATTCAGCCAGTTCGCACCAGTTCAGCAGAACCGGTAGCTAATTTTTTGTTGCCCAGGCCCAGAATGGATTTTCAGAAGCAGCATCCACACAGAGAACCGGTTGTTCACATATTTGAATCCCACCACTGCCTCCAGCCAATTATTAGGCAGCAGAGCAGGAGCTGCACATCTGATTGGCCCATTTTTTATATAAATATTCTGCCAGTCCCAGAAATTCTGGCAGTTATTCCTAACCTAACTAGTGTGGGGAGAAATCAGCATAAACAATAATTCATTCTCTAGAAAAAAAAGGTGGCTAGCTTACTTTGCCCCCAAAATATCTGTGGTTGTCTTATCCAAGAGTTGGTTCCAGAAAAGGTTTTCCTCAACTTCTCTCCTAAAAATTTGGATGAGACAGGGCATTCATTCAATGCACTGAGAGTGATTTATTTATATTTTATTTATGTATCATCTTTAGAAACTGCCCGTTTTCCTCAGATTTTTGTTCCCTCCAAAATAACAATCCTGTATTCAACCTCCCTTTTTGACAAGGGCTTGCCTTTTGTCAGGGATAATGTTTCAGGAATTGGAACAGGCAAGATTGAAGGGGGCAGAAGAAGGAAACCATGGAAGAAGCTCCATCCAAACTGCCAATAAATATTTGACGATTCTTTTCATTCAAGGCTGCAGAACAATGGGCTAAGATCAGAGGGTTTTTCAAATGGAGTTGAGGCTACAGCTGAACTGAGGCCTATCAGTTTCCAGCTCCTAAGTCAAATCAAAGAAATGCCTCTCTCAGTTTTCCCCTCTCAAGGGACTGAAAGTCACCACAGCTGTTTGACCCAATAAATTAATAAGGGTTTGGAGGGGGGAGAGAGAAGAGACAGAGGGTTTTTTTCTGATATTTTTAAGTGGAGGTGGAAGAAAGCAGGTCAGGAAGTAGAGAAAAATATCCCATCCAAAGAAATATTAATCAAGATATCTCCAGTAGAGGGAGTGTATAGTTCTATATAGAAAAAAAGTAAAGCCACCTTCAAGTCACAATCTTGGCAACAAAATGGACCTAATTTGTCATTCCCATAGTCTGGAATATTGGGAGGGGGAAGGGCGACTTCACAGTCTAACCTAGAGCTATAAAGTTTCATGGTGGTCTCTTATCCAAGTAATACTGTAATTAGCTCTGAGATCAATGCTATCTAGCTATTTCTGTGATCAGTCATTATTGACTAGGAGCTCAATCTGACTTGGGCTCTACAGGGAAAAATTAAATGATCTGCGACAAAGCAACAGAGCATCCGTGGCCAAAACACTCTGGAATTTCTTGTTTACATATGTTTGCATATCAAATTTTTAATTACAAATACTTGACAGTACAGGGAACTGTATAATTCCTCCCTTGAGGAGGGAAATTTAGATAGAAACAATGGTTCCCTCGTGTGCTTTGGCTCCCAACTGATTTCATCCTCTAAGTTTGCTCTTATATTTAATTTGCCATAAATTAATTTGAAAGGAAGGGAAAAATCAGAATGAAGAATTTACCCCCAGATGAATGAACCATTAGGCAGCTCTGCAACTGTCAGTAGTGTATGTTGAGTAGAGATATTATGAACAGCAGGGCATTAAGAAGTGAGGATTGGATTGCAGTTCAAAGAAGTTGACTACCATGTAGCTGCCATGAACTGGGATGAGAATTAATGACTAAGTCAAATTAGAAATAAACAGAAGCGGAGATTATACAACTTGGAAATGAAGAGCAATTTCAATAGTAAGGGTTTGAAATAAGTAATTTGGAAGAGAAGAAAACTGCTAGGATAAAATCCCAAACTGAACTGGGATGAGGACTATATTTGGATAAGAATTAGACGTGATTAACTTTCAGATCCTTAGGGAAGAGAAATCAATAAGGAGAAGATATTTCTGAGCCACAAATCCTCAGTTGTCTAGAATGGGAGTAAGAATCATTGGAATGGTTTCAATATTTTTTCTTAGTAGCAGTGAATAATTAGATTGGATAGTTTCCTGAATCTCTGGAATGAAGACTTCTTTGGGAAGTTGATTTGTCTTTGGGAAATAGATTTGTTCTGAAAAAGGACAAACAGCATATCAATTTGAATCCTCCATGTTTCCTAATACTTCTTCACTCTCCTGCTCTTTCTCTCCTTTTCACTTTCTCAGAAATGCAGAGTGTTTCAGCTGCTACTCTAGACACCAAGAAAAAAAAAGGTGTCCCTTTTACAGCTCCTTTTGATCCTCGGTTTCCATTCACCAACCAGACTCGTAACTGCTACCAGAATTATTTGGGTAGGTAAAAGACAAGATTTGACCATAAAGGCTAGGATAATTTTTGCTGAACAGCTTCTGAGCCATGCAAGCATATAAAATAAGCTGGACTGTCTTCTTGGCCTGTTCAGTTTGTCATTCCAGTAGCATATTTTAAATACAGATAAAGAAACTGCTGCACTGCATTTTGCTATGGACTAGCAAAAAAGATAAGATAAGGTAAACTTTATTGTCATTTTTATACTGTGGGCACAATGGCACACATCAAAAATGAAATTTAGTTGCCCGCTCTCAAAGTGAAACACATACATGACACACACCTAAACATACTGTGAACAACATATGTATAGACCCACATCCCTACATATATGTAGCAATAAATATTAAATATTGTCCATCTTGAATATATAACGGAAGGAGGAAGCTTGAGAGTTCGCAAGGTTAATGCTGTATGGAATGAAACTCTGGCTGAACCTGGATGTTCTGCTTCGGATACCAACTAACCTGAATAGTTTATCATTGTACTTAGTGGAACTTACTTCTGAGGACTGCATTGTTTATGGCCAAGGGACCAAAGAAGAAATTGTGCTTTATTTCAGATGCAGGTTGGAATATTTGACTGAATGTGTTTCTTTAAAGCTCAACAATTTACAGTACTTAAATGGCAAAGAATCCAATTCCAGATGTTGCACCATGAACCTGCTACAATTTTCCTATATATTAAACTGTAAATAAGCACAATGGATGATACTATTTTTTTTTTTTTTTGCATTTATCCACCTACCATCATCTTATTCTCACAAGAAACTTTTAGTTAGCCTGAAAGATATTGGCCCTAAATCACCCAATAAACATCATAATGAAAAGATCCTAATGTGAATTTCCCATTCATAGTTCAAGAGTTGAATAATTATCAGAAGATATAAAAGATGTCTTTTATGTATCCTGACTTACAGCCTAAATGTTGGAGATGTGGCTGCCTGGATGCCACTTATTATCATATTTGGTGGTCGTGTAAAAATATAAAAGCTTTTTGGATTAAGATATGGTGGAACATTCAGAGAATTTTTAGAAAGAGGGTAAAATTTACTCCACAATTGTTTTTGCTTGGTATTGTTACTGATTGTGATGCTAAGGAGGTTATATTGATGCTGAATCTGATTACAGCCGCAAGGCTGTTAGTAGGTCAATACTGGAAGAAGGAATCTTTGCCTACTTTGCAAGAGTGGTTTTTCAAAGTATTTTACTTGGCGGAAATGACAAAGATTTCGGCTTTCTTAAAAGAGCAAACGCAAGAGAAATTTTTTGCTGTATGGGAAAAATGGATAAATTTCATACAATTTAAACTGGATTTGAAAAAATATCATTTAGCTTTTTTATAATTTGTATAAAAACTCTACTTTTTATTTTTTTTCTTTGTTTTTCTTTTTTAAATACTTTCTCTTTTTAAGGATTATAATTCTTTTTTCATATATATTTTATTTTTAATTATCTTATAACTTTGTTAATTTTTTTTTTTAATTAAGCCTATATTCTGCTCTGGGAAGCTCCGGGGGGGGAAGGAGGGGGTGGTTTGGGAGGGGTTGGGGGAGGGTTGTATTGTTTTGTTTTGTTTTTTGTTGTTGTTGTTGTTGTTTCTTTTCTGTCTTTGTAAAAGTTTTTAAAAAAATTTTCAATAAAAAAAAATAATAATAATTATCAGAAGATATCAGCTTCTTCCCTGTCCTTGCAGATTATTACCGTTGTATGAAGATGATGAAAGGCAAAGGCAAGGATATGCAAAAGTGTGAATGGTACCATAAGGTTTTCAAATCCTTGTGTCCCAGCAGCTGGGTAAGTAGAAGCATCAGATATGCAAGAAAAAAACCCAATCATTACCCTTTTTTTCCCTACAGAATCAGTGCCTCCCTCCCTCCCTCCCTCCCTCCCTCCCTCCCTCCCTTCCTTCCTTCCTTCCTTCCTTCCTATTTAGAGTGATGGATCATTTCAGTTATAATCTGGGGCAAAATATGTACTTTCTGGAAAGTCTGATAACTTGTTCATTCCTTTCAAAATAAAGTTATAACTGCATTCACCCCATACTTTTCTTCCATATCTATGAACGTGGCCTTGTTCTGAAAAGTTTTGATTATTTATCGTAGGTCTATTGCTACCTAAACATATGTGTAACATATGAAACTTCTAATAGTAAACAGGTCTTCAATTTGATAAATATTTTTAAAGAGGTATCCACTAGTGCTTCAGATCAGTCTGCCTATCTTTATTAGTTAATTGTAGTGTAAAGAGGAGAACCTATGATGTGCCTTGTCTTAGCCATGATTGTAAAGGACTTGTCCTATTTTTTTTCCCCCTGAACCACAAAACATCAGCTAGTATTAAAACACAAAGGACAGCAATGCATCAGTCAGCCACTCTTTTTATCACTAAACAAGGTCTGGATTTCATCAGCACACTTTGCTACTGTGAAAAGGCTGTAAATGTGGATCAAGTCCATTTGCTATATATAATGCAAGGATGTGATCCCTGTTTGCAGTGTTTCTTCAAGCACTGGATGTATCAATCTTTTTGTGGTGAAGACTCATGAGACAGAAGATGTTAGATTATCATTAATGGACAGAAAATAGTACATTGCTTTGATTGACATTTCCTAATTCAGTAACTCCTGGATAATTTAGCCTACGTATACAGGTGATCTTGACATCTGATCACAACTGGGATCAGAATTTCAGTTGCTAACCAAGACAGTTGTTAAGTAAGTTGCACCCAATTTCACAACCTTTCTGCCACAGTTAAGTGAACTACTGCAGTTGTTAAGTGAATCATATGGTTGTTAAGAGAATCTAGCTTCCCCCATTGACTTTGCTTGTTGTAAGCCAGCTGGGAAGCTTGCAAATGGTGATCACATGACCCCAGCATACTGTAACTGTCATAAATACATGCCGGTTGCCAAGTGGAATTCAGTTGTCTGAATTTTGATCATATGATCATGGGGATACCACCATGGTCATAAGTCCAAAGACTGGTCATAAGTCATTTTTTCAGTGCCTTTGTAACTTTGAACAATCACTGAAAGAATGATTGTAAGTCGAGGACTACTTGCACTGCTAAGTTTGCTGTGTAGGAATTTGAAAGTTGAAAGCAAGTACATCTGCAAGACATGAGGGATGAAAAGATGCCAATTTGAGATTTTCAATGTCATAGAGAAGAATAGTGCTAGTTTTATTCTTGTTATTATTTCAAGAACCACAGTATTGTGTGTCTGTGCTAAAACTTCCTTAAGGTTCTTATTTGCTCTTCAGGTTGATCAGTGGGATGAGCAACGTAAACTGGGAACTTTTCCTGGCAGGATATAAAGATCTATCTTCCATTGCCTTCGTGAAGATAGCCTGAGAAGTACAACAGCAAGTATATTTTCGTCTAGTTCCAATTCAACGATTAGTTACCTCAGGAGAACTGTGAATCTTCACCCCGCCAAAACAGAACAAAATGCAAATAGAAGTGTTGTTAAAAAAAAATCAAACAGGAGAATAATTTCCAATAAACAGCTTTCTGACAACTGAAATGTTTAGGTATTTTTAAATGTTTTTCTCCCCAGATTGTATATTCTGCAAAATTTTAAAATAATAACACACGTATGTTTTCTGTGGAAATCTGTATTAGTACATTTTCTCAATAGTTCATTTAAGACAGATTTTTTTTCTCTTCCTTGTGCTGCTTAGATGTTTTGGGCTATCATAGCAACTTTTCTATTATCCTGAGCAACTGGAGATGGAATCCAATATATATGAAAACGTACTTGTGAAAAGCTGCTTCAGAATAAGTTGGTGGTTTTAAATGGAAAAACAGTACAAGAAAGGATTTAATCTACTTCTCAGATCTTGATTTTGATCCATATTTTAACAGATGATTTATGCCCAAACAGAAAGCCAGAAAAAAAATCACAGCTTGGCCAAGTTTTCTGCCTTCTAAAACAAGATTTTTGTATGTAGATATTGGATCCACACCTCAAAATATATGAGAGATAACAAACGGGAAAGGTGTGAAGCCAGGACATAAACACCACTCCTTTCCCCACACCCAGGCATATTGGCTAAGGAAAATAGTTGGAAGGGAAATGCACGCTCACGTACTGAGCAAGCACACGCCCAAAATCGAAATTGGGGTTGAGAAAGTGTGGACACGCCCTGCCAGGATAACCCCATCCTCTGCCTATGAAGTGGAGTGTGGCAAAGGGAAAACAACTCTCCTCTGGAATAATAACTCAGGAAACAGGTGCGGGAAATCTCTTGATACAAATGCAAGATTGGATGGATGGGCAGCATTGCTGAGGCTGCTGTTCCATAGCCCCAAACAGATATGCTCACCCACCCTCTGTCATTTCTGTGCCAAGAAACTTTCTCCAATAGCCATACACTTTCTGTTTTGGGTTACAGAAGCACTGGCTGTGCCTGTTGCTTTTCCTTACCTTCTGATTACTTTTGCTGAGTGGGGGCAATCTAGTGGAATCTTGGTCCTGGTGCTCCACACTTTGAGAAGAGGAACGATGGGCTGAATGATGCATTAAACATTAAGTTGATTGGGGCAGTCTTCATTACAAATCACTGCTGAAGCCCCCAAGGTGTCCTGAGGCTAGCTAGCTTCTTTTCGCCTCAGCCTTGCTATCCTCTCTGTGCAACATTGAAATAACAACAACAATACAGCCTTTCTATGTGCTTCCTGTAAAAGTTACTGGTAGTCCTTGACTTCCAACAGTTCATTTAGTAACTGTTCAAAGTTACAATGGCACTAAAAAAAGTGACTTATGACCATTTTTCACACTTACGTCCATTGCAGCATCCCCATAGTCACGTGATCAAAAGTTGGATGTTTGGCAATTGACTCATATTTATGCCAGTTGCAGTGTCCCAGGATCATGTGATCACCTTTTGTAACGTTCTTACAAGTAAAGTCAGTGGGGAAGCCAGATTCACTTAGTAACAGTGTTGCTAACTTAATAACTGCAGTGATCACTGAACAACTGTGGCAAGAAAGGTGGCAAAATGGGGCAAAATTCACTTTATCAAATGTTTCATTTAGCAACAGAAATTTTAGGCTCTATTGTGTCGTAAGTTGAGGACAACATGTATTGGATAATATGATTGTTTTAAAACAGGCTAGCACAGTGGCCCCCACCATGTGCTAGCAGATATCCTGTTCTTCTGTAATATTTTCAAAGTTAGTCAGTTACTTCCATTAAGGTGATTGGAATAGAGACTAGGAGACGAATGTGGTTCTCTTTTCTCAGCATGCTGTGGTACTGATGAAGATATATCCCCCAGTAATTGTTTATACTCTACAGCAGAACAAGATTCAACTTTTCTTCCATATTCTATGATGCTCTTAAGGGATTCAACACTGCCTCAATCTCAATTGTACTTCAGCTTTTTAAAATCACCAATGGTGTACCTAATTACTTCCTCTGTCTTTCTATCCCTCTGCTAAACTTTTGTTTCCTTTCTTGAGGGGTGGAATGTACACTACACAATTTCTTTGTCTTCCACTCTGATGGGCCTTGCAGAATATCCAGTTGGCTTCTATGGGAAGCAGTATACAGAACTTAGATGGGCTTTTGCCTGAATTTAGTAGGATCCTATTCTGCTTTTTTATCTAATTTGCATTCGTTTTTACTTTGTGACCATGCCTTTCCAAGATGGTCATCAAATCAATGTTCAAAGTTTTTGTGACTGACACAGAAAAATATCCACAGGCACAGAAATCCACAGCGGGCTACTTCACCTATAAACTCTTTGACTACCAATTATAGCAGCACTAATACTATATTTATATGTTGCCTTTAATATATAACTCAAATTTATTACTTTTTAAATATATTACATCTCAAATATATTATTTTTAAAAGATTTGGGCTCAACCAATCAAAATGTATGCTATCTGACCAATTACAATGAAATACATTTGCATAAAGTAAGTATGAATGGAAAGACTGCAAGCTTAAGCCAGTTATCCTGCTAAATGCTTAAGTGAGAAATCTATAGTTTAAGAGAGACTGAGGCTCTAAACTGGATTTCTGCCAGGAAATCTCATTTATTTACATGGCCTAACTAGGACTCTTTCCATGTTTCTGAGTTTAAGAGAAAACAGTTCATTTGGGGAATAAGTGATCACACAAGTCTTCCTAAGAAACCCAGGTTTTTTTAACAGAGCTTAACAGAGCCATAAAGAAGAGGGAGTCAAGCTATTTTCCAAGGCGCCTGAAGGCAGGACAAGAAGCAACAGGTGAAAACTAAGCAAGGAGAGAAGCAACCTAGAACTAAGGAGAAACTTCCTGACAGTTAGAACAATTAACCAGTGGAACAACCTGCCTCCAGAAGCAGTGAATGCTCCTACACTGGAAGTTTTTAAGAAGAGACTGGACAGCCATTTGTCTGAAATGGTATAGGGTTTCCTGCCTGAGCAGGGGGTTGGACTAGATCAGGGCTTTTCAACCAGTGGTACGGGTACCACTTGTGGTACATTGGCACCTGGCAGGTGGTACGCAACCGTCCTAGAAAAATGGTAGCAGGGGAAGGGAATGAGCTGAACCAGTGGCAGCACTGCACAAGCCTGAGGGAGAGATGGCTGGAGCTGCAGGGCTGTCAGGGCTCAGCGGACGCACCAGAATCAGTGCCAGGATCAGCACCAGGCTCCAGCTGGAGCTTGGCGCTGATCCTGGCGCTTCTGCTGAGCCCAGAAGAAGCACTGATCAGCTGGAATGTTGCAGCATCTCCAAGGTCTTGTGATTTACATTCAGATGCTTGGCAATTGATTCATATTTATGACGGTCACAGTGTTCCAGGGTCATGTGAATTGACCAAAACCTGCTGCAACCACCCAGCAGACGGGGGGAATAAAAACCAAACACCCCCCACCCCACCCCTGCTTGCCAATCCTCAACAGAAATGCTCACAACAATGAAAACCTCGGACAGGAGGAAGAGCGCCGCTGAGCGGGCAGGCAGGTGTCTTGCTGTGGCTTGGGGGGCACTTTTTTCAGTGTCATTTTAACTTTGAACAGTCACTAAGCATACTGTTGTAAGTCGAGGACTACCTGTACTTTATCACTTTTTTCCTTTTGGGGGGGGGGTCATCAAGTTTTTGACATCTTGCTAGGCGACTGGTGGTACTTGGATGTTGCCATATCCTAAAAGTGGTACAATGGATGAAAAGGTTGAAAAGCCCTGGACTAGATGACCTCCAAGGTCCCTTCCAACTTTACTACTACTAATACTACTACTACTATTATTATTATATAAAATAATATATGAAAGATCTGCATCCTAAACATCTAAATAAAGCTAGGAATCAGTTTTAGGATTTATATCAACCATTTAAAGAACCATCTCATAGACCTCCCATGTTTTAGATATGTATGTATGTGCATGATGTAATGTAGCCAGTGTCATACTTGCTGGTAATAGAGTGCTTGTGTTACCAAACTCTGGGCTACTAGTGAAATTATTTGATGTGCAGAGGTCTCAGGAAAATATCTGCATCTATATACCAGAACCAGGAAGCAGTTGTGACTCTGCTCTCACTTTAGATATGCCATTTCCAGCATCCTTTTTAAAACAAGTGGAAACATCAACTGAGTAGACAAAGAGACATACATGGACTAATGGTTCCCAGCCTGTGATCCACAATGATCCTGCAGGTGGGGCCTTGTGAGAGTGGCAAAATGAGTTCACACACTCTTGGGAGGTTGCAAACTCTGACAAGATTTTGACTTTCTCATTCAATATCTTGTGGAATTTGACAACATTGCATGATTTCCAACATTTCAATTTATTTTTTATTGAATCTTGAGACCTTGCAGATGCCAGCTGTGGGAATTACATAGGCTTTTGCTCCTGTAGGTATTAGACTGCTTAGCCCCAAAGGAAATGCTACTTTAACTTGCTTCAGCAGGTTGACATATAAGCTTCTCACAATATGGTGGTTAGGGATGATCATCTGCTCTAACTCATTGTAGTTAGAATAGTCAGGAAAAAAACATTGGTATAAATAATGATACGCCAAAACCCTGAAACTTACATCTGGAAACAAAACAGTTTTAGGAAAACAATCCAGGCAAGTTTTTCTCACAGCTGTCCAAACTGTCAAATCAATAGGCCTCACTATTTGATGACTGCAACAGAATGCATCAACTCATCCCTATTCTAACTGTCAGAATTTATCTCCTCCCCATCTCGGTTGTATTGCAAGGGGTTTCCTGACCCAGCCCCTGCCAGTTCAAGAGTTGGTCTGTCTGTCCCCTTCCCTGCTCTCTTGCCCTCCCCAGTTCTTGGGAGAGGCCTTGCTCCAAGCCAGTTTCCTGCCCACCCACCCCCATCTCCTTTTCCTGCCCCACCTCCTGTGTGTGAATGACCGGAGGCACGGGAAATCCGTGTGCAGTCATTCTGGATTTAAGTCACAGCATATACAGGAACACCATAGCAGAGATCGAAGGGAAGAGAAGATGGAGCTTGGCCCATGGAATGCCTGAAAGGGAGTGATATGCAGAGGACACAGCATCTGGGAC